ACTCTTGGGGTCTAGCCTTGTCTGTTGGAGCAGGGAATTAGGACTCCTAGGTTCTATTCATGGCTTTGCGAGGGGAAATTTATTTTCAGGCATACCCTGATCATCAGAGTCTTGCTGGCTAGTTCCCCATTGCCCTGAAACTGTGTGCTCAGAATGGTATGATTACATCAGGATTGGCTCACTGGCTGTAACCAGGGTGTGGACGGAAATAGAGGCAGAGAAGAGACCCAGATAAAGGGTCTTAGGCCTGGTCTACATTACAGACATCTGCAAGAAGGCTGAAGATGGTTCCTTATTCCCAGTTCCTTATTCGTGGTACCAGCTCTTTTTTCATGGTACCAGCTCCTTATTCCTGGTTCCCAGTTCCTTAGTCAAAGGCCCAAATGATTTACAGATACAGCCGCATAAGATAACATTTCATCAAGCCATGTGATTGAATGAGAGAAACATTTAAATGACGAATTACTTAATTATTTACGAATTACATACTCAAGTAAAGCGCTGGGCTTTTATGGCTTGTACGCAGGGCCACCCGTGGGGGGGGGGGAAGTGGGGCTATTTGCCCCCATGAGAATATAGTATTGGATAGTATTGCAACTTTTGTTTTATGGAAGGGCCAGTGGCGTAGCTAGGTGGAGCGAACAGGGGGAGCGATCACAGAAAAGGCACCACCCACTGCGGCCCTTCTACTCACTTCTCCTGACGGGGCAGCGCTCCGGGTCTTCGGCGGCACCTCGGCAGCGGGTCCTTCAGTGCCGCCGAACGCACCTGGAGCGAGTGAAGGACCCGCCACCGAAGACCCAGAGCGCTGCTGGGTGAGTAAAAATTAAAAAGGTGCTTAATTAATTAAAGGGCCTCCGAAATTGCTTTGCCCCGGGCCCCCTGAATCCTCTGGGTGCCCTGCTTGTAGGTAACAAAATAAAGCATGAGTCACCCTAATTGACACCTCCCTGCAGCCATCAGGCTCTTCCGAAGGAGCTGGGAATTGCCACTCGCTGCCCTGAAGCTTCGTTCTTGAATAACATGCTGCAAAATGTCACACACGCACCCACCCCTCAATTCCATTTTGTGTTGAGAGTTTGAATAAGGAACTGGGTTTTGACTGGCTGGTATGTGACGAAACAAGTCTCAGTGATATGTCCCCGCAGCTGTGAAGCTGTTCTGATGTCTCTGAGACATGGACCTCCCTGGCTTGCAACATTTTCTTTGTGGAAAACCTGTGGCCCATGTCACCAGCCCTTCCCTTCAGCAGGGTCCCAGGAGCAGCAAATCTGAACGTTTCAGGGGGTTAAGCTGGGGAGCCCATGTCTGCAGAGGGTGGGGACTTGGCGAGTGTTGTGTTTGTCCCATGTGTTGGCTGGTTGTTCTCCGTGGGGGGTTCTGGGAATGGGCTGCAGGCCCCCTGAACTAGCCTGATGCAAAGGTCTGTTTGTGTTTCAGTGAGGCCCTTGTCCCTGGGACCTCTGGCTTGGAGCCATGTTGGGAGTCTGAGGAGTTATTCGCTCCTGTTGGCGAGGGAGGGAGCTGAGCCTTGAGGTTTAGTATATAAGTGAGGTGACGTGAACGGGAGTGGCAAACAGTCTGAGTTTCGAAGGGAGTGTGATTCCTGTTTTAAGTATAGCTCTCCACCAGGGAGCAGATATGGATGAGGAGAGAACAAGTGCTGGGACCTACCTTGGACGTGCTATGTTTTCCTTTCTGCCAGAAGACAGAATAGATACCAGGTATATGAAGTGCAAGCTGGTGGCCGTACTGGAGGAGAAGACACATGGTCAGGAAGCATAAGTTGCAAAACAACGAAGACTTCTTAGACAACCAGAGTTGGAAATCATTTTCACAGATGCCACAAGGGGAAGGATCAGTGATAAAGGAATTGGATATAGTAGGAACCAAAGAGGTAGACAGGCTGTTTGTGACCAAGAGGGGAAAAAGCCAGGAGGCATTCAACCCGACTAGAAGTATCAAAACATCTTCAGATATTCAACAAGTCAACTGCGGAAGAACGTGTCTCTGGAGGAATGGAATAGAAAGCTACAGGGGACATACCTGAAGGGTGTCATTGCAGTTTGAAATAAACAGCAACCAAGCCAGGTTCTTCTACCATCCTAAGAATGTAAACAATTGGTGACTCTGTATTAAGAAGAGCGGATGGAGAATTCAGCCATGGAGACAAGGACAATAGGGCAGTGTGCTATCTCCCCGCAGTGAAGATACGAGATGTAACCATAACATTGGGTGGGATTATGAAGTTGTCTCCACTGATGATGATATGGCATCACACAGAACTACACATATTATAGAAGACCTCAGGCACTTGGAAGGGAGCAGAAGGAAAGGAAAGGCCAGATGATCTTCTCTGAGATCCTACTGGTCCAATGAGCAAGAGAAGGCAGAAAATGCTGGAGGTGAGCTGTTGGCTGCATGACCAGTGTGAGGCTGAAGGTTTTGGTTTTGTGGAACACTGGGCCACATTCCAGTGGGAAAGAGGGCTGTACAAACAGGATGGTCTGCATCTCACAACTAGGGGGACTAATCTTCTCTGTTGGAGACTAGCTGGAGCTGCTCTGAGGGCATTAAACCACCAGTGCAAAGGGGAGGGTGCTCATAAGGCTAATGCTGTACAAAACTCAAACTCACGATGTCCTGACCAACTTGAACTGATGTGGGAAAAACGTGAAAAGAGATTTTTCAATTGCTTCTATACCAATGCTAGGAGTCTGTGTAACAAGTAGGAGGAATTAGACATTCTCATTGATGAGGAAAACATTTATATACTTGGCATTACTGAAACCTGGTGGGAGAACCCACCTGATTGGTTATAACCTGTTCAGGAAGAAGAGAGTGGGTAAAATAGGTGGGTTGGTGCAGTTGGCACTCTCCATTAAAGCCACTATAACCTGTGTTAGTTTTATTGCTAACTCAGAACTACAGGATCTTGCATGCATGTGGATCCACATGCTAACAAACAAAACCAGGGATGGGGTCTGTTACAGGTTACCGAATCAAACCAGAGAGCAGGATGAGTTACTCCTTACAGATGGGTGTTTAATATGTTGGCTGAAGTGTTGGTATAATGGGGCAGTTCTATTTGGGAGACATATGCTGGAGCTCTCATGCAGTTGGTGATAAAACCTCATTCCAGGTATTAAAAATAGTAGATTTATATTGATTGCAGGACATATTGCACCCAACATGAGGTAACTATGTTGGTCCTCATTATGACAGATCAAGATTAATCAGTCATGGAACTGAGTGATGGTGGTTGCCTAGGGACCAGTGATCGTGACCTGATTATTTCACTATGGACACACAGAGGGCAGGCCCAACCCATAATATATGCACTTGGTGCTTCAAGAGGGCTGATCTCTCAAAGATGAGGAACATTTTGAGTGAAATTGATTGGGAGAAAAAATTAGAAAGAAAAATGTGAATGAAAATTGAGACTTCTTTATGAAGATTTTATTAGATGGACAAAAAAAGCCATGCTACCAGATCAAGAAAGAGGACAACTTTGGTCAAAAGTCCATTCTGGTTCCGTGCTGAAGTGGAGGCAGCATTTAGAAATTAAAAAAAAAAACCAACATATGATATACGGAAGAAAGAGGACATAGCAATCAATGTAAATGAGAAGTTATGATGTGTAGAAAATTGATAAGGGAAGCTAAAGACATCACAGAAAATCCATGTCTGGCAGGGATAAGGAAAATAAGGAGTTTTAAAAGAATATTCTGAACTAAAAAATCCCAACAATGGTATAGAGTATAGGCATATTACTAGATGGAGATAGTAAAATTGTTAATAATAATGCAGGAAGGGTTCAGTAAATATTTCTGTTTTGTATTTGGAAAGAAGCAGGATGATGTATTCATATCATGAGGATTGATGAACTACCTTGTTCCAGCTCATCAGCAGGCCCTAATAACTTGGACCCAGGAATCCTAAACGAGTTGGCTAAGGAGATCTTTGTTCCTGGGAAATTCCAGAAGACTGGAAGAGTACTAATGTTGTGCCAATATCAGAAAAGACAAGCTGTATGACCTGAGTGACACTAGACCAGTTAGCCTGATATCAGTCCTAAAGAAGAGAGGCACAACTCACCCCACTTTGCTCTAGGCTGACCCTTTGCAGACTGACTGCTCAAGCCCCAGATCGCACACTTCCCTACAGAGACCCATAGCTTGCAAGCAGGCCCTGGAAACCTCTTACTGTTAAAGTGATAGCTTGTTGTGTTTGCACAGTTTCAATGCACACACTTGTTTCGCTTAGGGGGGCTGGAATAAGGTATACCAGTACAATGTGCAGTGCTGCAGGGAGTGGGGACGGGGGTTCGGTATGGGGTCCTCCCCTTGCAGGCAGAGTGACCCCAATGCCCCAGCATGGCTCTAGGGGGTGCTGTGCTGAAAGGGCAGGGCGCTCAGTAGGGGGTGTTCTCCCCTTATGTGTGGTGCTTTGCTGTTTCTAGCTGAGACACTGAATGAGGACACTGCCCCCTTGTGGATGTCATACCCTGGTGGCTCTTTCCCAAGTGGTCAGGATGTCCCCAGAGCCCCAGTCACATCCCAATGTGGTTAATTCCCTTCCGCCTTCCTAAATCCCCTGGCAATGTCAGCTCCACACAGGATCCTTCTTCTGGTTCTGCCCTGAAACTGCCATCCATGTTGCTACAAGCTGTCAAGCAGCCGGCATGCCCTGCCCCGCCCCAGGGGTGGCTGCATTTCACCTGTGAGGGCATAACCACGCAAAACTGGCCTGCAAAGCATGCTGGGATGGAAATGCAACCACTCCTTGCTCTGTCAGGCAAGTCCGCTGAGCTATGTTCCCTTCCTGGCTTAGAAAATGCTTTACAAGGCCCATAGGTGTAGAATACCTGGTCGTGATGCGGGCTAGAGAAGATGCAGCAGACCCTGTGGCCAGATGCTGATGGAAATGCAGGGACCAGATGAGCTTTCCCAGAGAGATGATTCATGTGATTAATTTCTGGCCCTTTTCCCTACTCCCAGACCTGATGGAAACTCTCTTCTGGAAGAAAATGGCCTCTTTTCTGTTGCCTGCATTTTGCCTTTTGAGCGGTGAGTATAATGTGCGCACACATACGCGTGCACACAGCCACCGCACACACCTGTGGTCCCCAGGAGGTTTTGTCCAGAGCACCTCAGAGCTGGTCTTTGCTGCAAAACAAAATCATAGAATCATAAAATATCAGGGTTGGAAGGGACCTCAGGAGGTCATCTAGTCCAACCCCCTGCTCAAAGCAGGACCAATCCCCAACCAAATCATCCCAGCCAGGGCTTTGTCAAGCCTGACCTTAAAAACTTCTAAGGAAGGAGATTCCACCACCTCCCTAGGTAACGCATTCCAGTGTTTCACCACCCTCCTAGTGAAAAAGTTTTTCCTAACATCCAACCTAAACCTCCCCCACTGCAACTTGAGACCATTACTCCTTGTTCTGTCATCAGCTACCACTGAGAACAGTCTAGCTCCAGGTGTGTACTTAACGGGGGTGCGCTAATTCGGGTTAAAACAGCAGCAAAGTCACAGCGGCCCGGGTTAGCAGCTCCAGTTAAAACCAACGGGTCAACCCGGACTTGGACTCGAGGTCAAACCCGAGCAGCGGTGTCCGCACTGCTCTTTTAGCCCCCGTTAAGATCGCAGCTCTTGTTATTGCAGAGTTATCCTGGACCATCCGCGCTGCAAAACGCTACCCATGCCAGATCTGTGTTGCTGTACCCACAATGGTGTGATGCTAGCCCAGGAGCTGGGATGGGTTTACGGGGGGTATCCCTAAGCCCCTCATTTTCGCGGTTTATTTGGTTTGAAATAGCCTGGGAGTTTTTCAGTGTTTATTCCTAAATGTAAATAATGGGTGAGACTTGGTGAAAAATTGAAAAGGAAGGGCAGGAGGTGGGGGTGCTTGGTCCTGACAGGGTTCTGGCTGGCTGGGGAAGCAGACAGGGCTCTGAGCCGTGGGGCTGCACTGAAGGTACCAGCAGAAGAGTACGTGCATCTTCTCCTGACTCCAGCCACTTCCCGAGCAAAAAATTCCCTGGTTCCCAAAAAGCCAAAATTTGGGTGAAAATCGGTAGAACCCAAATTGTGGCTTTTTCAAAACTATGGGAGTTTTAGGGGGAAAATCAGCAAATGCTGATAACAAAGGGCTTTGAGTGTAACCAAACCCATCTTGGGTTGGCACAACTGATCTTCCCCATTCCCGGTAGGGCCCCGAGTCAGCAAGGCATTTAAGCACATGCCTGACATTAAGCACCCGAGTACCCCCAATGGGATTTCCGTGGGATCATGTGATTAAAGACCGGCTCTTCCTTAACTGCCCTGCTGAACTCTAGGTAGGTGGGTAGCTGATTGCAATGCACTCTAGTCTGGAAAGGTTCCCTGTCTCCTTGCCCCTTCGGCTGGGTTTGGGGAGGGAAATGTCCGATGCCGAGAAATCAGCTGATCATTGTTTTACAGGAGCCGGGTGGACATCTGGATGGGTGGTCCCTGATTTTGGCAACGTCTACCACGTCTTAGGTGAGTGGGCCTGGTACTCTGTGGTCGGGCTCTGTATCGCAGCATGCTCTCCCTCCGGCAGATGGCTGTGGTGCGAGCACCTCCTGGTGACACCTCGACCACGGAAAGAGCGCTGCCCTGCCCTGTGTTAGGAAACACTCGGGATAATCCTGAGCCCTGACCTGGCACCTCTGATCCGTGGATCGTAAGGTGTTGTACTTGCTGAATTAAACTGCTCAGCTGCTCTGGTTAGTGGGGAGCTAGGCTTGTCCCCACTAAGCAGATGAGGAAATTGAGCACATGCAGGCCCCACGGCTTGGAGCCTCCTTGGGGCTCAACAGGCCTTAATGTTAACCAGAGAGATTAAAAACATCCCTTATAAAAACAGCTAGTGTCCTCCAGCAATCTCCCTTCCTCCCTAGGGTGACCAGTTACCAAGGGTGAAAAATCAGGACAGAGGGTGGGGGGATAATAGGAGTTGTCAAGGTCCCTCCCCAACGCTGAACTCTAGGGTACAGATGTGGGGACCTGCATGAAAGACCCCCTTGGCTTATTCTTACCAGCTTAGGTTAAAAACTTCCCCAAGGTACAAACTTTGCCTTGTCCTTGAACCCTATGCTGCCACCACCAAGCGTGTTAAACAAAGAACAGGGAAAGAGCCCACTTGGAGACGTCTTCCCTCAAAAATATCCCCCCAAACCCTACACCCCCTTTCCTGGGGAAGGCTTGATAAAAATCCTCACCAATTTGTACAGGTGAACACAGACCCAAACCCTTGGATCTTAAGAACAATAAAAAAGCAATCAGGTTCTTAAAAGAAGACTTTTAATTGAAGTAAAAGAATCACCTCTGTAAAATCAGGATGGTAAATACCTTACAGGGTAATCAGATTCAAAACATAGAGAATCCCTCTAGGCAAAACCTTAAGTTACAAAAAGACACAAAAACAGGAATATACATTCCACCCAGCACAGCTATTTTACCAGCCATTAAACAAAAGGAAATCTAACGCATTTCTAGCTAGATTACTTACTAACTTTTTACAGGAGTTCTGAGCTGCGTTCCTGATCTGTTCCTGGCAAAAGCATCACACAGACAGACAGACCTTTTGTTCCGCCCCCCTCCAGCTTTGAAAGTATCTTGTCTCCTCATTGGTCATTTTGGTCAGGTGCCAGCAAGGTTGTCTTCTTAACCCTTTACAGGTGAAAGGGTTTTGCCTCTGGCCAGGAGGGATTTTATAGCACTGTGGACAGAAAGGTGGTTACCCTTCCTTATATAGGCTCCTGTCATAACTATAAAAGAAAAAGCCCCAAATATCAGGACTGTGTCTATAAAATCGGGACATCTGGTCACCCTACTCTCCCCAGATACAGGAGTACTGCTATGGCAAAAGGGAATGTTCTGGGCCATCACTGTCGGACTTAACAGAGACCAGCCGGTCATCTCTTAGCACTTCAACTCTTCTTCGGCCATAGTGGGAGGACGTGTCTTGTGCTTAATGCACTGGGGTGGGACTCATGGGTTCAATTGTGGCTCTCCCTGTGTGACCTTGGGCAAGTCGCTGCGTCGCTCTGTGCCTCGGTTTCCCCATCTGTGAAACAGGGATGATGGTACTTTCCAGGGGGGTTGTGGGGATGAATCCATTGCTGTTTTTAGTGGAGATTCTATGGGCTGGGGTCTGCATCAATATCTAGATAGAATCAAATCCTTTCCCACCATTCTCAGCCACAGACAGACAGACAGACACCATATGGGAAGGGAAAGGAAGCAGAAGAGCCTCATCCCTAGTAAGCATATTAACAAACCAACTCTTTGCCTGCTCTGTCTCCCAGTGCATCTCAAGCCTGAGTCCCCGATGGAGACTGCGTGGTGTTGTAAGCATTGTGTTTGCAATACAGCTCCTAGGCTTCAGGCATGCAGCTGGATCTGTGCCGCTGGACCCATGCGCCCACACAGAGCCCCTTGGGTGCAAGGCTCTGGCCCCTGACTGAGTCCCCAACTCCCCCACGGCAGGGCAGGGACTGTCTTAATGATTCTGTCTGTCAAGCTGTCTCCCCCACACGGCCATCAGCCTAAGTGATAGGTACAGGTGATGGCAGGACTAGCCTGTCCAGCTAGCTCCTCAGACTCACTGGTGTCCATTCTGCAGTTAATAATAATAATTAATTAATACCTAGCTCTTATCATCATCAGATCTCAAAGTGCTTTACAAAGGAGAATCAAGATCATTATCCCCATTTGACAGATGCGGAAACTGAGGCCCAGAGGGGGCAGCATGATTTACCCAAGGTCACCCATCAGGCCAGTGGCAGAACTGGGAATAGAAGCCAGGTCTCCTGAGTCTCACTCCCGTGCTTTAGCCATTAGCCCACACTGCCTCCCCATTAGAGGGAGGCAGTTACTGTATATTACAATTACTGGGAAGTCCTTTTGTTCATTTAAAACACTTCCCAGAAATGGGCACGTGTCCAGCGCTGTTCAGTACCCCGGCCTAGGCTCCTGGGTGAGACTGAAGCTCCAGGGGGTCTTGCCAAGGCTCTAGGCCACACGCCCAGTGTCTCTTGTTAAGAGGAAAAACACAATCAGTGCAGAGAATGGGAAGGAACGGGGGGCGGGGGCGGAAGAGACAGAAAAGCAGCCCCGTAAGCCGCTGGAGCCGTCTAGGAGACCGGAGGGTGGTTCTGTTGTTTACACAATCCGAGGGACAGCTGGGACCTGTTTGCTGGCTCCTTGTTCCAAAACAGCCCCGGTCACGGCCAGCCAGAAAAGGGTCTTTATCTCGCCCTTAGCCCAGACTGCAGCAAACCAGCTCGGCTGACGTGGCTGCGGGAACGGCCTTTCCCAGAAGCCTCCCCTCCTGCATGCATTCCCCTTTCACCGTCCTGGCCTATCCTTCGCTCCCACTCAGCGCGGCTAAGGGCCAGGGGAGGTGGCCAGGGCATCTCTAGGAGCAGCAGAAGGCGTAATTTCCGGCTCAGGCAGACGTACACTTAGAATCATAGAATCATCGAAGATCAGGGTTGGAAGGGACCTCAGGAGGTCATCTCATCCAACCCCCTGCTCAAAGCAGGACCAGTCCTGAATTTTTGCCTCAGATCCCAAATGGCCCCCTCAAGGATTGAACTCACAACCCTGGGTTTAGTAGGCCAATGCTCAAACCACTGAGCTATCCCTCCCCCCCAAACCTGCTAGCTGTGGTCGAGGTAGCACCCTAAAAGTAGCAAAGTAGCCACAACGGCGTGGACAGTGGCCCAGGCGAGCTGCCTCACGTACCTAGGATCCTGGCCAGGATGGCACTTGGGCAGCTAGCCCGTGCTGCCGCGGTGACCCGGCTGTTTTCAGTACACAAGCCTGATCGAAGCTGGTGTGTGTACATACTCTAAGCCTGGAAATTACACCTCCAGCCGCAGTGTAGACGTACTCTAAGCCAGCTGGGGGATGAATTGGCCCCTGTGGCTGCTGTGACTTTCATCAGCTAGAACTGTCTCCCATCAACCAGAAATCAGTGAGGGCGTCATGCTCTACCCCCATTCTCTCCCTGCTCCCAACCAGCCCTGTGCCAGAATCAGGGGGTGGAGCCAGGAGGGGCTGCCAGTCCAGGGTTTCCCTTCACCCAGGGAATCCTCAGCTCCTCCCTGAGGGGCAACTTTCGGGTCACTTTGCACCACTCTGGCTCTGGATCGCTCATTAAATTAACATTGTAGCTCGCAGGAGTAAAACTTCCCCCTTGTCCGTTGTCTCTGATGAGGGCATCACTTTTCAGTGTCCGAACAGTGAAACTGGCATAACCCGGCCTCTGGAGAGTGCAAGGAGGAAATCACCACCGAGCAGATTCGTGGTGAGAGGTTCTGGGATGGGAAGGAGCGGCAATGCCAAGGACAGTGAAGTGGCTTGGCCTAATTTCCTCTCTGTTAGGCCAGGCTGCTCGGTGGCTGCTTTCGCTGTGGGGTCACAGTGCATTTTCCGAGGGGGGCGCATGGAGCGGCCTGGGTCTCGTTGCGCTGCTCGTCTGTAGCTCAGGACACAGGGAGCAGCCGGGTGCACAAATCTGCATCTCTGGGAGCTCTCGGTGACGGAGGCCGGACTCCTGTGGGTGTGAAATGGGGCAGAAGGGGAATTCTGACCTGGGTTAACGTCCATTACAGGGAGCTGGCCCCAGTGCCCTTGGTGTGCCCAGAGGGCGGCGCCGCATGTGGCTTGAATTGGGCATGGCTGAGCTCATCCCACGTCTGTACGGTGAATCCATACTAGAGACTAGGCCTCGGCCCTCTGTCTCAATGCCATAGACTTGGGCTCATCTGGCTCCTGTTCTGGTGGCCTGCAGGGGTTATCGACCTGCCGTTCGCTGAAATCCAGGAGCCCTTCGAAGCCTGGTACAACCTGACGGGAGAGAAGAGCCGGATCCAGTACTACCAGGGTAGGCGTGCTGGGCACCTGGTCTCTCTCTGCTCCTCACCAGGGGGCAGGGCCAGTTCCCACCATTGGGGCCAAACTCGGAGGTGACGTATTGAATGCTTTAAAGGAGCCCCAGGAAAACCCCACTCCCCAGCCTGACGTGCCCCCACATCCCACTCCACGAACGAGGGTAGCCTGATTCGACTTGCTGCGACTTGGGGCCTGATCCAGAGCCCAGCGGGAGCCTGTCCATTTACCTCACTGCGCTTTGGGTCAGGGGATCCTCTGAGCAGTGGGGGAAGGAATGAGCTAGCAGAGAGGGGCCCTACATTCCCACAGCTGTTCAGTGTTCCCTTGGCTCCTCTTTCTCCTGGCCCCCTTGGGGTGTGAGCGGGAGTCCCCCCCACATGCAGAGGGCCGAGTGCAAGGAGGGGGTGCATGTTCCACCTCTGCAAATGGGCGTGAGCTGGAGGGGCTGCAATGCACCCTAGGTGGTAGAGGGTGTAAGTTGCTCCAGGTGGGTCAGTCGCAGGGGTGCCAGAAGCAGGGGCGGGGAAGGGGGAGCACAGGGCCATGCCCCCCCTTTTTACTGGCCATAAGGGCGAGCAACAAGGGGGAGGGGGCAAAAAGGAATGAGTGGGGTGCAGGGAAGAGGCGGTGCAGGAACAGGGCCTCGGGGGGCATGGGCAGTGTGGGGGGGGTCTTGGAGGGCAGCAGGGGGCAGGTCCATAGTTCAGGCACCTATGGCCCCCCCACAAACACATTTTTAGAGCACTTCCGCTGCTCCTGGTCTGTTGTCTCCCTGGCAGGGGAACACCCAGCTCCCCACAGTCTGGTGCTCAGCCCTCGCTTTCCCTCTGCTGCTCAGCCTGGCATGGCTGGGCACAGAGGGGATAACGGGGCAGCCAGGCCCATCGTGGCTATGGACTGGCTGCAGGGAGTTCAGCATCACACCAGCTCCCAGGGCTGCTTCCCATCTCCCCGGGATCTGCCCCAGGTGGGTGTGAAAAGCTACAGACAGTGACGCTTCTCAGCTTGAGAGTTAAACCCTTGGTACCATTCCCCCTTCTCAGCCTGCTCAGGGAGAGGCTAAGACCCCGGCGGTTTCTCCCCTTCCCTCGCTGGGCCCATGAAATGTCTTGCCCTTCCCGCATCTCTTCCCTGCCTCCTAGGGCAAGTGATCACCTTCCAATATGGGGCAGAGAGGCTGTTTGGTGCCCTCTACAAGATCACCCCAGAGACCACCGAGCTGGAGCTGAACGTCCGGAAGTGCTTCCGGATCAGCGGCAGCCCCAGGAAGCGTATCTATCCACAGAGCGTCCTCCCCAGGCTGGACGGCTTCAAGGTGAGGGCTGGCAAAAGGCAGGAGGAAACGCCAGTCGGTCGGGCCTTTGGTTCACAGCGAATGGATTCCTTTGGCCTGGGTGGCTTCCTGGTTTAGCTGGGCAGCCCCCACCCCACCAAGGCTTCTTGTAGGAAATGGCATCTCCCCAAAGCTCGTTAGACCCGGCTAAGTCTGAACCAGGAGCCCAGCCACCCCTCATACGTGCTCCTCTCCTGTGTCCATTTCCTGGGGGCTCAGAAGAAGCTGAATGCAGGGGACAAGCCGGTGTCTAGTCCCTCCAGCGCTCCCAGTATCCTTTGCCGCGGTCCTGCCTGGGGGGAAGGTGCGGAGTGGCTGACGCCTGGCATTCCCCTAGTGCACCTGGGTGGAAAGCAGCTTCCCAGTTGCTGCTGCTGCTCCTTTAAGGAATGCATAGCCCCCAATCGGGGGCGGGGGGGGGGGAGACTGAACCCCATTCCCTCCCCCAGGCACCGCAGCTGCTGGTGAAATAACATTCCACCCAGGCGAGCCACTCTCTGGAGGGTCAGTTCCGCCTGGCCGGGAAGCCGAGGGCACAGCTGGCAGTGCCCATGGAACGCCCATCCCAAAGCGGGCAGGACTGGCAGCTCCTCTGTGGGAGCCAAGGCTAGCACTGCTGAGGGACAGGCTGGAGGTGCATCGGCAGAGCCGTGCCCCGTGCCCGGTTGCAGCCAGCATTCTGTGCGTCAGGCGCCCACCGCCAAAGGCCCCGAAGCCTTTCCAAGAGCGGAAAGCCAGAGTTTTCAGGAATAAATACGGGGACATTTAAGAAACACGTTTTCAGGGGTGGGGGGGAAATAGACAACAGGGTACAGCTTGGGGAGCGGGGAGCCTTTTCCAGTGATTGGGGCAATCGTCATAACATTGTCCAAGGATTGTGGCTTTATACAACTATACACAACTAAGTATCTGGACACGTACTGCAAGAAGTGCTGCTGTTTGGAAGCACGCTGTTTTTTCAATGGCGGCTCCAGGAAACTGAGGCAGGCCCTGAAATCGTCCTGCACGTTCAGTTTTCATTTTTGAAATATGAACAAATGTGTGCTTTGGTTTTGCTACCCTTCCTTCTGCGCTCTCTTGGGAGCTGGGCGGCTGGAGAGCGGCAGCTGCTGTACCCACCTTCCCCCTCCAGCTCCCCCTCTCCCCAGCAGTGTCCTCTAGTTGGGAACTTGAAATATGGGAACCCTAGCAAAGGGCCTAAAGGCGATCACAGTATTTTTTGTGATCTCGCGACCCCCTTTTGGGTCAGGACCCCCAGTTTGAGAAACGCTGCCTTAAGACAAAACGGTACTGACTGCAATGTCCCCTCCCCAGCCCGTGCGGGAGGAGTTCTACAAAGGGCAGCTCTGCACCGTGTGGCAGAACGTGTCCTACTGGGGCCAGAAGGAGAACGTCTACACTTTATGGGTGGCCAGCTCCGCCGACGGCCCCGTGCCCGTCCTCTACGAGATGCAGGGCTTCAACAGCCTGCTGGACTCCCACTACGACAAGTGCAAGATAGACTACAGCGGCTTCACCCACAGCTACCCAGCCGGGGTCTTGGACCTCCCAAGCAGTGAGTGGCAGTTCTCCCTCCTCCCTCCATGCTGTGGAAGTGCTTTGCTGGGGAAATTCCACAGCCAGAGCTCCCGAGCCTGAGCAGGGAGGTATGTGCCCTGAGTCCTGTGGGGACCCAGGGCCGGGATCTCTGAGCCAGGACGCTGCCAGAAGTAGCCCCAAAACATGGCCAGGAGCTGCACTGGGAACGTGAGCCCACTGGCTTCACTCCTGCAGACCAGGGAAAACCATCACAGTGTAGTGAGTCAATCAGGAGTGGCCAAGTCTCCACGTGATCCTGTTGGCTGCTGCTAAATCTCCAGGGGTTTGCATTGATCAGAGACGTGGAAACATATGGCTGGTTAATCCTTTCACGGCATGTGCCCCAGCTAATGCTGGTACCAGCAGATCCAGGCCCCCTGAGGAACCATTCAGTCCAACATTCCCACGCACCCACCTTCCCCATGCAACTATGCCCTGCCAACTGGGTGGGAGCAGGGCAGGCCCCTGGTCTGGGGCTGTGTGCATTTACCCCAGAGATCAGCTGAGTCCCACTAGAACGATGGTGTCACTCTGGATTTGTGCCAGTTTGTCCCTGTGTTAAGTGTGTGTTGGGGCAAGAGCGGATGGAGGTTTCCTGTTAAATAGACCCTGAAATGTGGCCCAGCCAGCACTCAGATAAAGGCAGGGAGATCTGGATTCACACCAATGAGCAGCAATCTTCATGCTAGCACGTCCAGGGGCCCTGGTCCAGAGGGGAGCCTGTGGCTTGTTGACCCCCTGCAGACACGTTGTCTGAACCGCTTCTCACTGACCCATGGGCTAAAGCTGGCATGCTGAGCTTCTCTGGTGGATTTCGCTCTGGGCAAGGAACAAAGGGTTTGTTTCAGGCTGACGTGCGGTGCTCTATGAGTTCTTGGCAGCTGGGTTGTGGGATCTGAGATATTGCAAGTAGGGGGTGGTACAGATACCGGGGGATTGCCGGTTGGTGTCTCTGAGCTACGGCTTTCTGGCACGTGCTGTAACCTCCCCACTAACCTCCGGCTCGGTCCTAGACATGGAGTGCGAGTTTCCTCCAGGAGACGGAGTGGAGCATCATATCCTCGCCAACCCCATGGGGGATTTCATGGGCAGGCAGGCGGATCGAGGCCATCAGCTGTTCCATCACTACCGGCGGGAGTACAGGAAGGAGTACGGCAGCGAGAAGGAGCTCGAGCGCAGGGCACAGACCTTCATTCACAACATGAGGTGTGGGAGCTCAGATATTGGGGCGAGGTAGCCAGGCTCCTGGGATGCTGGGAGGGGGCAGGGAATGTGTCATCCCAGATTAGCCTTGTTCCTCTGACCCAGCCTGGATGTGCCGAAGAGTCAGGCAAGCCCAGAGCAACATGGGATTAATTTGATCCTGGCCCTTCCCATAATGTCAGTGTCAGGCCGATGCCAGCGCAGGAAACCTCTTGCCCCGGATGGGTTAGAACCCGGCTCTCCAGAACTCCACCCCTCTGCCCTGCATCGCTTCTTCTGAGAACTCACAGAGAACCGAGAAGGCCAGAGACAGCTGTGCCCCCCACCCTGCTCCATGCTCCCCACTCCTAACTAGAATGAAGGCTCCCCGCCATTCACCCTTCTGGCAGTGTAAATGCGAATCACGCCCTGAGTATCTAGCCATCAGTCAGCTGCTGGCTTCATAGCGAGAGGGGAGGAGATGCATGTCTTGGAGCACAGAGCAGTCATCTCCCGACTGTCACTTGACCTAGCACCAAACTGCGGTTATTTAAGCGCGCGTGTGAGGTGCTGCTGCAGGGATGTGCCCGGGGTACACCAGGGCTGCCCACCAGCTAGAGCTGCCCAGCTCCCCCTCTCTTCATGGCATCCATCCCCTCCCAGGTACATCCACTCCAAGAATCGAGCCCACCTGCCCTACAAGCTGGCACTGAACCACCTGGCCGACCGCACCCCGGAGGAGTTGGCCGTGTTGCGGGGGAGGCTGCAGGACCAAACTCCCAACAATGGGCAGCCGTTCCCACTGGCACAGTACGCTGGCATCATCCTGCCTGAGAACCTGGACTGGAGGCTGTACGGTGAGGAAGGCCACCTGTGTCAGCATTGGCCACACATCCCCAGGGCTGCTTCACACTCCGACTGGCTGCAAAGTCCTTGTTCTCCCGCAGTCCCCTGACAAGTGGGAAGCACCCTCTGCCTCCAGGCGATGCTGAAATGCAGCCCTTAGGCCTGCTAGAGCCTTGGGCGGCTCCCTGCTTTATACCCATGTGACGGAGTCAGGACTCACTACCGCAGCACCTCCCGCTGTCACGTCTGGGAATTAGTTCTGTCCTCTGTGGGGCACCCTCTGCCAGTGGTGTCCTGTCTGTCATCTGCTCCCCCATTGGTATCTGGACCCGCAGTGCTTCCTGCTCGGCAACTTCCACTTCTGGTCACTGCCCTCCAACAGTGCCCCTTAGTCCATCGGAGGGGGAAGAGAGGGGTTCCTGGTTAACTGCAACTTGGAGTCTAGCCCCTCACATCTGGGGCACGTTGCAGTCCAACACTGCCACTCTTCATGAGCCAGGTGCAATGCAAGAAGAAAGGGGGCCGGGACCCAGGCCCATGCACTACTCTGGGTCCCGGCCCAGGAACCCTCTAGTGGCAGCCTCCCCTGCCCTCCTTCTTGTCTCTCGCTCATCTATCCTCCCTGGGCCAATTCCTCTCTGGCCCCTCACACCCTCTAGGCCCCTCCAATCAGGGCCCACAGCTTGACAGGTATTGGGCTGGAGCTTTCCTCAGCTCCCCCAAGCCTGCCCACCACTGCGCTGTCCAGGGTGCTGGGCTCCTTCCCTCAGGAGAGGGACCTTCTCCCTTGAAGGTCTGAGAGAGACTGCCCTGCTTTTCTGCTGCGCAGCCTTTATATATGGCTGAGCCTGGCCCTGATTGGCTGCCTCCTGCTCAGCCCTGATTGGCTCTCCCACAGGCCCTCCCTGATTGGCTGCCAGTCTGCACAGCCGCTCTGGCCTGCCCTAGCCATGTCTCACCCCACCACAACCCACCTTTCAGCTGCCATCCTGTTAGATGGGGCCTGGATGGAGCTTGGGAGAGGGTGACTGTCCCCTTTAAAGGGCTAAGGGTCAGTTGGCCCCTAATCCATGGCATGTCCCTCTAGGCTTCCTGGGACTCCTTGGGCGGATGAAGGCCTAGGGAAGGGCTGAGGCGGGTGCTGGAGGAAAGGAAGAAGGTCCCAGGGGAATCGTCTGTCTCTTTAAGGACCCAGGACCCGGAGCCTTGGAGGGAAGCAGGGGTATGGGCAGGGCTTCCCCCTTGCAGCCAACCCGGATGAGCCCTGGGAAGGAAGGCAGGATATCTGCTGCCTCCTCTGTCTCACAGCGGGAGAGACACCAGCTTGGGGAAGCAGGGCTGCCTGCCTGCTGACCCCTCCCTGGCCAGGGAGGAAGAGGGCTAAGCAAAGAGAGGTCCAGCTAGGAGAAGCTGCTGTAGGCTACAGCTGGCCTGAACCAGCACAGCCCCTGAGAGGAGGGCTGGGGAGAAGAAGGGTGGGGCTCCCGAGGGTAGTATATCAGAGCCCATGAAAGGGGGAGCCAGGGCTTAGCTCTCGGCTCTGGGAGTCAGTTAATGCAGAGAACCCAGAGGGAGCTGAGGGCAGGGACCCTGCAGGGCCATCCCAGCTGGGGGTTGCTCTGGAGATGGCGACCCTGGTGTAGGGCTCCTCCTGGAACAAGTTGTTCTTCCATAACTCGACAGAGGGGGGCAGCGACGAGCATCACTCCCAGTTCCCAACACTCAGGAATAGTAGGGCGAATTCCCAGGTCAGCGCGGGGGGGAGAAGAGACAGGGTGTGGGGCCCTTTTAGTCTGACAGCTTCAGACTAACCAGCGCTGGCTGGGCTGGGGAGAGACGGCCTGAATTCAGAGCGGAATCCCCTGGGGCAGGTTACTTTAATTCAAACCCTCCTGCTAGCTGTCTTTCCTGCTGTCCCTGCCAGCCGCTTGGCATGTAGGTTACCCAGCATAGGCTGTTGGATGCCACAGCTCCTGGGTGAGTGTCTGGCTGGCAGGGTGTAGGTTGTCCAGGGGTGTGGCTGCCCACCAGCTGGGGGTGTAGACATAACCCGCGCTGGCAAGCTGAAGCTAGCAATGTAGCGGCAGACGCGGCTAGCCACCCTGGTCGGATCCCATCTGAGACCCTAGGTACGTACTTGGGTGGCTGGCACCTCCTGCCACTTGTCCTACCAGGCCGGCACTGCTGGTTTTAGCAGGTTAGCTGGATCAAAGCTAGCGTGGGTGTGTCTCCTGGAGTTGGAAATGACCCCTCCAGCTCTAGTGTCAATGTATCCCGAGTCGTCACTCCCGCATTGAAGGGGCCGGAAGGTGTAACTGGCACCATCTTAGACTCCTCTCTGACTCTGACTTTGGCTTCCCACTGGAATAACCACGAATCCAGCAGTACGAGGGATAGCTTGGTACCAGGAGTGTGATGGAAACTGGACTCCTCCTTCCTACTCATGACCCACCGAGTCATGTGCGTGGGCCTCTGCTCTCCGGCAAGATGGCCCAAAAGTTTGCTGCTCGCTCTTCATGCTGCATTTCTTCAGGGTAGCGAGGCACCTGGAGTGGGGGAGAAGGGCAACGAGTGGCAATTGCTAGGGGAAAGGGGAAGAGAAGAATGGCCCTCTCGTGGTACAGAGGCCCCGTGGCATGGTAGCTCCAGGCGTTCAGGAGCCGGGGAGATCAGAGAGCTGAAATGTGGAAGATCTGAGTTCTCTACCGCAAGTGGCTCATTTCTTATTCTCTCCCCCAGGCGCGGTGACCCCAGTGAAGGACCAGGCTCTGTGCGGCTCCTGCTGGAGCTTTGCTGCTACAGGAGGATTAGAAGGTGCCCTGTTCCTCAAGGTAACAGCCCCGCTGCCTCATCACACCCTCAGCTTGTACGGGCAGGGATCACACCACAGGGTGGAGCAGCCAAGACGCCCCCCGTTGTGGGTCTTTCAACGCTCATATGTACTGTGGTAACACCGAGATGCCACAGCTGAGATCACGGCCCATTGTGCTGGGAGCTGTACGCACACACAGTAAGAGACAGCCCCTGCCCGGAACAGCTGACACACTGCAGAGACAAGGCAGAGGGTAGGAGAAGGGCAGTATCGCTATCCCCACGTAACTGGTGGGGAAGTGAAGTACAGAGAGAAGAAGTGACTTCCGGGGCCACACAACGAGCCAGGCATCAAACCCAGACCCGCTGTGGGCCCGGCCAGTGCCTTAAGCACAAGCTGCGGCCTCCTTCCCCTTTGCCGAAAGCCTCCAGAGCAGATTAGTTTCTGCTACTGATGGGGGAGTCCCTGCTTTCAGCCCCACGGCTGTAACTCTGCTTGGAGTCCTGCCCCAGGAGCTCCCCAGCGTGAGCAGCTCTGGCTGGCCGCAACGGCATCACTGACGGGATGATGCTCACCCGAGACACAGCTCCCGCGGGCCATGTATTCCAGCCCAGGGATAGAGGGAGAGCGGTCCCCAGAGCATGGAAGGGGTCCCCAGAGCATGCCCATTGGGGGGATGTAGTAGCTCCCTGGACATGGTCTTGGTGAGCCTGTGTGTGATGTGTCAGCCTTGACGTAAAGGGGATGGTGAAGTTCAGGTTTGAGTTCTCTGTGCCCGACCCTGCCCTCCCGCTCTCCTCCCCAGACCGGAGGCCTGACCCCCCTTTCTCAGCAAGCCCTGATGGACTGCTCCTGGGGCTTCGGGAACTACGCCTGCGACGGCGGCCTCCCTTGGCAGGCCTTTAAATGGGTCAGGAAGCACGGCGGCATACCGAGTGCCAAGTCCTATGGGCCGTACAGGGGCCAGGTGAGTCGGGCTGCTTTTCTAGGCACCTGCTAGGGGAGCCGCAGAGAGCATTTATTCTACCTGCTCGAGCAGCGTGCCCTTGCACCGAGTGGGGATGTGATGCGGAGAGCCCTGAGAAATGCCCCCGGCTGCCAGACGCTGAACTGTGGGCTCCCTTGGCAAAGGGCTGGGGCTGCTGACGGGAGAGCTTGGTGCAGGGCCCAGCAAAGATGGAAGTGGCCTGGGATGCGATCCTGGGAGCAGCTGATTCCCCCTCCCCCCACTCCCACCCCACAGCATGTCTATTGTGCAGATGGTGAGTCTCAGGCATGGTCCTGGGCTGGCTCCTCCCTGGCTGCCAGACAAAGGATATTGTGAGCCTCTGTTCACCAGCCTCCAATGCTCTGACGGGGCTAGAGAAGTCGAAATCCATCCCTCCACTCACCGTGCAGGGCCCTGGCATGAGATGAACCTCCAGCATGCCCTAGATGTTAGCGGGGTCAGACAGAGGTTCATACCTGTGGGCGGATACCAGCGCCCAGAGCCCAGGCTAGGCACTGGGATAGCGGGCGATGAAGCCAATCAGCATCTAGCTAGAATGTGCTCCTGGTGGCTGAATTTTCTGGTGCTCATTGTGGATCCTGCACCACTGAAGCCAAAGGGAGATTTATCATTGATTTCAATGAGGGCAGGAGGTGGTCCAGAACTAGCAGTCTGAGTTCTGAAGTTATCTGTGGAGTGGATGGGCCACCTAGCGCTCGGGCTGCAGGAGGAGAGGGGTGCTGCAGGGCTAGTCTTGCTAACGTCTCAGGGAGCCCAGTCCGTTGTGATACAACTTACTAGCTACGTTCTCCTACCACCGACCCAGAGAGATGGGAGGCGGGGGAGCCTTTATTTCTTCCTTGACATTATAACCAGTTTTAGACAATGTGCAGGGGCTTTGATTTTACATGGAAGGTGTGATGGGCAGTGGTATAAAACCCTTGGAGGAACTGATAGATAAACAATTGCTTCTGAAGATCCTGAAGTCTCCCCTCGCTGCAAAATTCTCGTCCCTGTTACAGAAATCTCAGATCCAAGCAAACCTACCTGCTCCACTCACCTCTGAGTCCTGCGAGTGTTTCTTCTCCACGGCTCCCATTTAGTACTGTAACCCTCGGTACAGCCCCTCTACAGCGTCTGGCTCCCGAGGGCTTTTCCTTAAATGACGAGAGGGGACTTGTAAGGCTCCGGAAGACTAGAACCCAGGTCTGCAGAGTGCTAGGGGATGGGTGTGGCTCTCAGCAGCCCGGCAGAGTTGCAATGAATAAGCCCTGGGAGAACAAGCACCGCAGCACCCACCATCACTTCTGATTGGTCCACGTGCACTATTTAAGCATGGAGGGCGTTCCAGGAAGCTGTCTGTGCAGCTTGGCAGCTTGTGGCTTATTGCCACCGCAGGCCCTGCTCTGGTCCCTGATTTGGACCTTGGCTCTGTTCTTTGGCTCTGATTCCTGGCTTGGCTCCTGATCCTTAACTCCGCCTGCAATCCCTGCCTACACTCCTGACTCTGGTTCTGACCTTCGCCTTGACTCCTGCTTTCTGCCTCTGGCTCTGACCCCTGGCTTGAGCCCTGACTCCCACCAAGCCTTCTTCCTGGTCCTATCTGCTAGGCCTGACCACCCATGTCCCAGCTATGCCAGGGCTTAACAGATGCACTGAACTCTTCTCCTTGCCTTGTGGGGTGTCCCGCTAATGAGCCAGTCCAGCTGCCAGAACTGCTGCTGGTTCTCCCTGGGCTGAGCAGGCAGGAGAGTGTCTGGCTGGCTGGGTTTGAGCTGGCGGCATATCACGGATCAGCTGGCATCCTCTGGCTCTTATCCAGGCTTGGCCGCAGTGAGGGGGTGGATGGAGGTTGCTCTGTGAGCATTCTGGCTGTACGGGGACACTCAAACCATACTGCTGTTAAACTCCCGTGTCCCGCCTGCCTCCCAGAACGGGTATTGCCACTACAACTCATCTGAGCTCCTCGCCAACATCACGGGCTACGTCAACATCCCGGTCGGCGACGTCACCGCCCTGAGAGCCGCCATCTTCAAGAACGGCCCTGTGGCCGTCAGCATCGATGCCTCCGCCAAGTCGTTCGTATTTTACTCCAACGGTGTCTACTATGAACCCCGGTGTGGTGAGTCCAGCCCTGCCAGGCGCGCGGTGCTCCCGGTGGGACGAGTTTGCATGGCTAGGAGGAGAGGCTGTGTCATGGTAACCCTTTGCCAGAGGCTGCTGGATCCCAGATTGCTCAGGAGACAGGGTGGCTGCTGTGACGAAGTGGGACTGTTCTTAATGTTTCCTCTGAATAGTGTGGGGGTGCCTCAGTTTCCCCTAGGCAGTTCTTAAGTATCTAGGGGGTGGGGTAAGGGTGTATGATCATTGCAGAGCCCTAGAGGGCAGGTGTATGCAGGAGTCTGGACACAGAGAATGGCCGACACCCTGTTTCCTGGCAACTAATGGCCTGGGCCCTTCCCCCCCTGCAAGGTGAGAGCTGAAGGGTTGGAGAACAAAGGAATCAGGTGACCTCCTGGCCCGGGAAAGGAACAAAGCCCAGAGGAGGAGGGGCTGGAGGGGTTTTCAGTTTGGGGCTGGCTGGGACATGGAGTGAAGTGCAGACGTGGTTGTCTGGCTCACTACCCCCCAGAATGGACCCAGCTGAGGGGTCCCGTTCTCTGCACCTGCAAGCTCTGTTTTAGACCATGTTCCTGTCGTCTAATAAACCTTCTGTTTTACTGGCTGGCTGAGAGTCACGTCTGACTGCGAAGTTGGGGGGCAGGACCCTCTGGCTTCCCCAGGAGCCCCGCCTGAGCGGACTCGCTGGGGGAAAGCGCACGGAGGGGCAGAGGATGCTGAATGCTCTGAGGTCAGACCCAGGAAGGTGGAAGCTGTGTGAGCTGTGTGTCCTGAAGACAGGCTGCTCACAGAAAGGCGACTACCCCAGAGTCCTGACTGGCTTCATGGGGAGCAGTTCCAGAGCATCGCCCAGGGACTCCGTGACAACTGGTGGCAGCGGTGGGATGTACTGCACCCCGTGGATGGCGCTTCCTGCAGTAAGTGACTGGGGAGCAGTAACACGAAGGGGGATTGCCGAGGACCAGGCCTGCTGAAGGCTCAGAGAGGAGCGGTTTCGGGGGGCGGTTAACCCCTGGGAGTGTGTGACCAGCTAGAAGGACTGTGCAGTAACAGGGTTCCCCTGGGGGTTGCAGCGAGCAGTCCAAGGGGCGGAGGAGTCTGCAGCTCGACCCTGGCAAAGAGGTGGTGACCTCGAGAAGGGCTGGCACACTAGGGGTTCTCCCTGGAAACCGTGGGGAGCCTGTGAGTCCACAACAACTTGGGAGGAGCGGAGTGATGGCCTGTCACCGTCTCCTTAAGAAGGACATTGTAAGCCTGTGCAAAAAGAGAGGGTTGAGCATTGGAAAGTTCACCAAAGCAGAGTTAATCGTGCAGCTGGAGGAGGATGACCGCTCTAAGGAACAGATTCCTGACCCCAACTGGGGCTATAGCAGGATCTGGGAGCAGCTGAAGCGGGAGCCAGGCATCGCCAAGACTCCTGTCCCCGACCAGACGGGGGTCTTCACGATCGGGTTCCCCATCGGGGGATCAAGACGGACGGGAGTGGAGCTGAGTCCGAGAGAGCAAGAGGACTGTGAGAGACAGCGAGAGCCTGAGAAAGACCTGCAGAAGCAGCAGCAGCATGAACTGGCGGTGGTGGGGTGGAGAGGCCTAGGGGACCTCCCCGGGGTGAGTGGGGATAGATCCCGGGGGGCCAGTTCCGCAGGGAACCTCGAGACTAAATTGCTGCCCCTGGTTAAGGAGGGGGGGGGTGTGGATGCCCACCTCACTGCCTTTGAGCAGGCTGGCGATTTGAACCAAGGGGGCCCTGCGGAAAAGCCCCGGTGTCTAGCTCCCTTGCTGGGTCCCAAGGCCACAGACTCCGTCAGCCAGGTGGTTGGGGATGTGGACAGGCTCCCACTCCTGACCCCAACCTATATGTCTGTGTGGAGTTTCCTGGGGCCAGGCCCCCCGGACCTCCAGTGGGAGCAGAAGGTGATGGTCAATGGGGAGACATTCTTGGGGTGGCCAAAGGGCATGGGCTGCATAAACCTTCCCACATGCGGCCTGCGAGTGCTATCGACCACCCTGACCTAAGGGAGGGCGTGAAACTGGAAGGGCCTGGTGTAACTCCTACCAAGGAATGGGAGAGATGCTGGGGCATCCATGGGAACGTTGGTGGCTTCGAACTTCCCCAGGTCACCGGCTAAAGTGACCCCGCTCAGTTCGATCTCGAAGGGGGGAGAGATGTGACGAAGTGGGACTGTTCTTAATGTTTCCTCTGAATAGTGTGGGGGTGCCTCAGTTTCCCCTAGGCAGTTCTTAAGTATCTAGGGGGTGGGGTAAGGGTGTATGATCATTGCAGAGCCCTAGAGGGCAGGTGTATGCAGGAGTCTGGACACAGAGAATGGCCGACACCCTGTTTCCTGGCAACTGATGGCCTGGGCCCTTCCCCCCTGCAAGGTGAGAGCTGAAGGGTTGGAGAACAAAGGAATCCGGTGACCACCTGGCCCGGGAAAGGAACAAAGCCCAGAGGAGGAGGGGCTGGAGGGGTTTTCAGTTTGGGGCTGGCTGGGACATGGAGTGAAGTGCAGACGTGGTTGTCTGGCTCACTACCCCCCAGAATGGACCCAGCTGAGGGGTCCCGTTCTCTGCACCTGCAAGCTCTGTTTTAGACCATGTTCCTGTCGTCTAATAAACCTTCTGTTTTACTGGCTGGCTGAGAGTCACGTCTGACTGCGAAGTTGGGGGGCAGGACCCTCTGGCTTCCCCAGGAGCCCCGCCTGAGCGGACTCGCTGGGGGAAAGCGCACGGAGGGGCAGAGGATGCTGAATGCTCTGAGGTCAGACCCAGGAAGGTGGAAGCTGTGTGAGCTGTGTGTCCTGAAGACAGGCTGCTCACAGAAAGGCGACTACCCCAGAGTCCTGACTGGCTTCATGGGGAGCAGTTCCAGAGCATCGCCCAGGGACTCCGTGACAGCTGCACACCCCCGTGGGGCAGGAGAGTCCCAGGCTATTCTGTTCCATCCAGGGTTTTCTCTGCTGGCTCCAGCACCATGAGCCGGGTGGACCTTTAGTGCATCACACTGCTCTCTGCTACTCGGGCACCCCCACCCTCTCCCAGTGCCTCTTGGGGGCCACACATGGCTGCCAGCCTGGGGGTGCTGGTGCCAACTGCAACTGTACAGAGCCACCTCCGTGCATGGCAGGACATTCCCCCCGGATGAAGAGCGCCCAAACAGCACAGAGCCAGGCTGGCCCCCCGATCACTACCAGGCACTCCAAAGGCATGGTGAAGGGAGGCAGCAGAGACCCTAGAAATCCAAGGTCTGGGCGTCCCATTCTGGGGTGCAATCCAGCCCCGTGAGGGCTTGCATCATCACCTGCCCTGCAACCTTGGGCACCTCACAATGCGCTGCTGTGGTAGCTCCCAGCCATGGCCGCTCACAAACAGCAGGCAGGTCACACCCTGAGTGTCTGTGTACGGCTGCCGCGCTGGTCCAGCTACTCTGAGCCCAGCAGCCTGTGAGCAACACTCCAGCCATGCTCTGGCTTCCACCAGCCTCGGTTACTACTCACAGGGTGACCCCAGCACACTCCCAATCCCAGGGTTTTCCCCAAAACTTGTGTTTCTGTGTGGCCCAGCCCTTTCCTGGACTGTTCAGCTATTACTGGTCCCCCAAGGGTCAGTATTCAACAATTTGCTACATTAACTGGAGTTACCAAATAGTTTGGTTTAAACACAGCCCTGGATTAGTTTAGTTTAAAAATAAAATACATTTATTTAACTACAAAGAGGGAGGTTTTGAGGGAAAGTCAGACATGGGTAAGAGAGAAATAAAGCTAAACCGCTGTCTGGTAGCTGAAACGTCGCAAGTGAGGCTTGGTTCAAGGTAAAATCATTACGGCAGGTTTCCAGCGACAATGCTGATCAAATTCTGAAGTCAGGATCTCCCCCAGAGCCAAAGTGCTGATTCCTTTGTCATCTCAGATGTGTGTGAGAGAGGAAGAGATCCCTGGGGTGTTTTTGCCCCTCACTTTTGCAATCCACTCACCCTCTGGAGTGGATTCTTTTGAGGTTTCCCCCTCAAAGCCATGTTTATTCACACAGTAAAGAAGGTGACCTGGGATCTGCAGGTGAAGGTGGCTCCTTCTCCCCTGTGCATGCTGAAATATAGACTTGCTATGTCTCCAGCCCCAGGACCCTGTTTACTACTTACATGTACATTGAGGTGAACCCACATTGCTTTGTTTAGCCTAGACCTGCTTAACAACTCTTGCCTAGGCAGGGCTGTGGGGGTTTGAACATGCGCTAACATTGTGCAGGGGGAATTCATAACCTTACATAGAATGTCGCTGCGTATCTTTCACCAGGATGTTATTGACCAGCAAGTTGTTAGTTTTCAAATGAGACCTGACAGGGCATATTTTGTATAAAGATGATCACAACAGTGTGTCGGGGGGAACGGGGGGAATACAGCAGTGCTTTCGGTCACGGTGGGCCCCTGCTTCCATGGCCTGACACCCCAGGATTCCTGCCTCCCTTCTGCAAGCTTTGCCCCCAATCATGCCCCTCCCCAACCTCCCCATGACAGCACTTAGGAAGGTGTTGCATTCTCATGCTTGAAGAATCCCTGATAAGTGGAGCAATGCTCGGGGGTCTTCCAGTGCAATGCGCCAGCCCCCTGCACTAAGAGCTTGGCAAGAGCTTTGCATGGGCTCTGCCACCAGGTGGCAATCATAGTCCATCCTAGGTTTCCCAAATAACTTCCCTGGCAGAACTAGGCTAGCCGGGCGGTTGATACCGCCCCTCCCTCTTGGCACGGCCCCATATAAAATAGACCTGACTGTACAACTCTCCAGGCTGCCTGCAGGAGGGCATTTGATTCACACTGTGGGGCGTGGAGGAAGCTACGTCTCGGGAGAGTCCCAACCCGTGGCATCTGATGCAGAAACCATTCAGTGGGGCGCTCTGGGCTGTGGTAGGCAGGAGGTCAGACTAGATGGGCGTAATGGTCTCTACGGGCCTTAGTATCCATGGATCTGCCCCCATGGGGAGTCCTTGCTCGTGACCACTCCAGGGCTGCTGTGGCTGAGGCTGTTTCTCTACATGAGACTTGTCTTTTGGCCTCCTGGGAATGCAAGAGCCCGGATGCCAGGGAGGAAAGTAATCGCAGCAGGTTAATAGCAGCATGAGAAACCCCTTTGCTAATCTCCTTTCCTCTCGGTCGCAGGGAATGCCAGCAGCAGCTTGAACCATGCGGTGCTGGCCGTGGGCTACGGGGTCCTGCAAGGGGAGAGCTATTGGCTCATCAAAAACTCCTGGTCCACCTACTGGGGTAACGACGGCTACATCCTCATGTCCATGCGGGACAACAACTGCGGGGTGGCGATGGCTGCAACGTACCCCATCCTGGCCTGATCTCCAGCCGCTCCTGGGTCAGAGGGAAGCGAGCTGGCTTCAGGATGCTGGTCCTTAGCAGCCTGCCGGGCCTGCTCTTTATCTGTGCTTGGCTTGCGCTCTGGACGGGACCAAGCTATGTGCTTTAGCGCCTGATCCTGCATGGCCTAGGCGCTTGCTCGTTCATGCTGAGTGCCCTGAAATCCCCGGGAAGCCAAATGGAAGCTCAGGGCAACAAGGGCCTCCTGAGGCTGCATCTGCAGGGTCAGCCCCTCTCGCTGGATAGGATTTCAGCTCAGCCCAGGTAGGCAGACCCGAGCGGATTTTGATCTAGCTAGACGCAGTCTCCGCTAGCCTTGATCTAGCGAGATCAAAGCTGGCTTGAGTAACAAGGCCAGTGTAGCCACTTAGTGCCAGGGGCCAGTCTCCTGAGTACCCCCCACCCCCGGTCTTGACTCCAGCAGCTAGCCTGTGATGCCACCCACGCTGCTGCTGTTACTCAAGCTGGCTTTGATCTAGCTAGATCAAAGCCAGCTGGGCTCTGCCTACAGGTGTGGCATGCTCACCTCCTGATTGCAGCACCCACGTGCGAAGAGCCCTTTGTGGAGCTTTGAGAAGCTTTAGGTGCGCAGCATCCCCGGCACCGGAGAAGTCAGACCAGCTGCTGTGGGCGGGGGGAGCCCTAGATCCGACTGGGCACTGAAAGGAGGGGTTCTCTGTGTGGTGCTCCAGCCCCTCTACCCCTCTCTCCCTGTAGCTGGCTCGCAGTCTGGTGAGTTACAGTAACTAGGGCAACTCCCAGGCCTGCAGCTGGCAAAGAGAAGTAGCTGATGCGACTGATTCTGGTCCTGTCAATAAACTCGCTGGTAAAGGCACAAAGTATTCTGGTCTTCGGAGTGTTGTCTGCTTGCTGGGCTCCGCCAATAATGGGGTGCGGTGGCAACCCAGCTAGGCTGCTGTGGTCACAAGGGAAAGCATAACTGACCCCTCTTGTAAGCCAGGCCACCTGGATTCCCCCAGTTGCAGGCTCCCTTCTGTGCTTTGGGACTCTGCTCCGGAGCCTCCGCTCTTGCGTAAAAGAGAGAAGATCATGCCAGCCCCCGTGGTTGTGAAGAAAACCATAGATACAGAGAGTAATGGCTGTGTCATCTTCCTGAGTCTGCAGAGAGCCTGAAATGAGAGTTCTGTTGTGTGAGCACTGTCCTGTTTTTCCCTCAGTTAGTTGTTAACTCTGAACCCTAGTGATGTCCCTTTAAAGATCAGCATTGTTATTTATCTCCCTGCTGATCATCCGAGCCGAAGAGTCCAGTTAATGTGCCTTACTCTTTGATCCCAAACTGTCCCTACATCTCTCCGGGGGCCAGAAATCTCCAACTGCTCTGGACCCAGATGCCAAAACCTTGGCTTCCTCCGTGATGAGCTAGGGAGGCTGCCCAGAGGGGTCATGCTCTTTGTGTCTGAGGGGAGGGTCAGCACTGATGTGGGGCTGCTAGCCGCTGTGTCCTGTCAGCGTACAGGGTGCACACGTTGCTGCCAGGGGAGACAGTGTAGCCTCCAGAGTTAGGAAGGCTCCCCCTTCCAGCGGTGCAGGGGCTGGATGTGGGGACCAGGGACTGGGAATCCCGGTGCAGTGGCCCTGAACTGTGTCATGCCGTAGTGACTCGGAGAAGGGAGTGACCAGCACCCACCCCTGCAGGGGGCTGCGTGGACCTTGACCGTCTCCCAGCCAAGCACTGACTCAGCCAGCTGCTGCTGAGCATGCAGGATTCAATGGGGCCAGCCCAGCACACCCCTGCCCTTTCCCTGGGACCTGGGAGTTAGGCTGCTTTCCACATCCTCAGCTATGCAGCCTCTGAACCTCTCATTTTCTTCTGCGCTGGGGCCCTGCAGCCACCCCCTTCGCCCATGGGCCCTGGCTAGCTGCCCTTGTGCAGGCCAGCAAATTCCGTGGTCTTTCTCTGCGCGATTTCCCCAGGCAGCCTCCCAGCGGGCAGTCAGGGCTGCGAGCCCAGCCTAGAGAAGCGTTGCTCCACGCTTTGGGATCCCACATCCTGCAGCAGCATCACGTCCTAGGTGAGGTCAGTTCTGGTTCTTCTAGGAATCCCGCACTGGACACAGCTCCCTCGGCTATCGGGATGCAGGGGGCTAGGGGATGATGTTTTAGATACACATGGAGGAGTGCACCTCGCTCGCAGTCCTTGGGGCGGCTAGCAGGAACGCAGGGCGCTCAGCCTGGCACCTACACAGCAAGGACCACAAACCCAAGGGTGCAACCCAGGAGCATTGCCCAGCTCAGGAGTTTCCCCACAGAGGTGGCCCTGGCCAGGGGGAAGCCACTTCCAGAAGTCCGGCCTTCCTGCTCACATCCTGCATCATACCAGGGCTCCCACTCGGGCTCCCGCGCCGGGCGTGTTGTGCCGGTCGCCGGCACGGCAATGGCAAAGACCCTGAGCCTGCTGTGTGTGTTACTTAGCGCCATGCTGGTCGGAGCTGCTGGGCTCGGGGCTTTATTACTGGAGACAGCACACCAGCCTGGGCTGGTCTAACCCGGGCTTCTTGCTCTGATGGTCATGTGCGATCCTTGCAAGCCCCTGCCGCGGCTCCGGTAATGGGAACCCTGCAGCTGCCCCTTGCGACACCCCCCTCCGCAGCAACGCAGAACCGGGCTGCAGCGTCCCTGCCGTAAGGCGAGCAACGCACCAGGCCAACGCCAGCCCGTGACTGGGTGGCGCTCACGCCATCCCCCACTGCTGCAGCCCCACCGCACTCATCACTGCTCTGGGAGATCCTGTTTTTCCCGCCTCCTTGAGAGAGGAAGCCCCGGTCCTACGGTTCTGAGCCTCCCACGGTGCCGGAGCCTTGGTTCTCGCACTGATGCAGGAGCAGAAATCCTCTCCTTGCGCTGGCCCCAGGCTTGAGGATGGCGTGTCCCCTGCCTGCTGGGGCCCGTACAATGGGCTGGGTGCAGCCACCTCCTCCTGACTGTCCTGGTCCTTATGCAAACGTCCCTGCCCAGGTGCCCCTGCAGACTCGGAGCAGCAACCTAGCGGCTAGGTCTTCACCGCAGCGCGAACTCAGGCAATCCACGCTCACGTGGACTCCTCCTGGGTCAGCCTAAGCCGGGGAGCGCGGCCACGCAGCGTGTGTGTGAGCCGCTGAGGAGTCTGCTAACACAAGCTGTAGCTACACCCCCGGAGGGTGGGTTCTTGTGCATGGACGGGACTCGAGTTAGGGGCGCCACCCACATGCACTGCAGGGAAGACAAGCCCTGAGAGTCTGGTCGGCTTCTCTGGGGCTGTTTGCAGGCCTAGCGAGGCCTGGAGGACCCACCATGCTGGAGCAGTCTCTAGGCCCTCCTAGGCCAGGATTCAGTCTCTGGGAGGGGCCAGCCCCTCAGAGGAAGGTGTAAGAACCAAGTAGCAGCAGCTGTTGGAGAACCTGCCCCCCGCAGTAGGTCTCTCCCTGACCCCAATCACCTAGAAACTGGCTCCAGCCCTGAAACGCAAGGTTTGGCTCCCCTTCCGCTGTCTGTGTTGGGGCCACTGCATTGTCCCACATCTGTCCTCTGCAGAGTGCCTGTTCTCCTGCCTCTCCCAGCTGCCTGGCCGCGGTCGCCTGTGCTCCTAGGACACCCTCCCTCGAAGCCTTGGAGGGATGAAGCCAGTTTGCCAGGCCAAAGGCCACAGCTGGCTCTTCTCCCCCAGCCCAGGCTGGGGAGGCCTCGTTGGAGCTGCCCTGGGATGGGAGCTCAGTTCCAGGGAAAGGGGCAGCTGCTCCCCACACGCACTGGGGCAACTTGGGTCTAAAGAGCCGCCCCTGCCTCCCGCTCCCTCCTCTCTCAGCAGGGGAGAGGCTCCGTTCAAACCCCGGCTGCCAGCCTAGAGCAGGGAAGCCCGCAGCAGGGCTGGGCCCTGTCTGAATGGGTGGCACTTGGAGACTTCCCACCCTGGCTTAGCAGCAGGTCCTCAGTGCTGGGACTCCCAGCCGTGAGCACCACCTGAGCCTGGCCAGGAGGAGCCTTAGTGCCAACTGGCTGGGCAGAAGGTCTGAGCTCGCTCGCTGGCTGGCCCCAGGGAGGAAACGAAGATCAGCTGCCTCTGGCCTGGCCATTCTCAGGGCAAGAGGGGTTTCCAGCAAATGGACTGGAAACAGTCCAAATAGACTGCAGGAAGCCACCCCTGCAGCAGTGAGGACCCCTGCATGCCCCCGGGGCCCATGCCAGCACCAGGAGAGCAGGGAGAGCCCAGCTGGTTGTGAAGAGCCACCGCAGCCAGGTACTGGGGGAGAAGGAGGTTTTCTTTGGGGGTGAAGAGGACTATGACCTGCTGGCTTAGGGGAGGGGCCAGGGCAGCGTGCACAGGGTGTCTTGCCCCTGGTGGCAGCGGGCGGGAGCACACACAGAGCCGTGTGAAGCCAAACCGCCTTGTGAAGCAAGTGCACCTTAATCCCCCCACCTGGTTTAAAAGAGAGGCAGCAATTTCCCAGGTACTTTATTGCCAGCAGTGGCGAGAGCAACATCAGCTGTGCCCCCGTGGGCTTCTTTGGGCTGCTCCGTAGCCAGGCTGCCATCCTAGGGGGACAGCACTCCCCCACCCCTCGGTACAGGCAGCCCCCCTTTTCACACCTCTCCCCTTCCCCAAATTACCACCCCGCCTTGATTGCTATGGTATGTTCCCACCATCCTCCCGCCTGCGTGGCTGCTTTACTTTTCACTCAGGGGCTTAGTGCTGCGAGGTTCCGAGGAGCTGATTTGCTACCGACGAGGGCCAAGGCAGGGGGACGGTATGAATTAGGCTCTCAAGTGGGTGTCTCTGCTGGGATGAAATCCACACTGGCCTGCAAACTAACAGCCCAGGCCTGGTAACCCTTGTGGGTGGGGCTAGGATGGCGTAGGTGACCCCAGCCTGTTTTGGCGCCAGGGTCACTCCAGGATGGGGTAGGTGGCATCCGTGGCTACCCCGCAGTTGTTGTCCTTCATGGACATGAGGATGTAGCCGTTGTTACCCCAGTAGGTGGACCAGGAGTTCTTCACCAGCCAGTACAGCTCTCCTTGGAGCACACCGTAGCCGACAGCCAAGACCGCGTGGTCCAGGTCACCTCTCTGGTTACCTAGAGGGGCAAAAAATAAATATAAATGACGGCACTGTACCACTAGCAAGCTCATTAGTGACAGAACCAGGGCCTAGCTTCTCATCCACACGTCTCCCAGCACTCTGCAGCAGTGGATAAGTGTTGTTATCGGCCAGGTAACCTGAGGCACCGGGTTTACGTAACTAGCCCAAAATCACCTAGCAAATGAACAGCAGAGCTGGGACTAGAAACCAGGAGTCCAGGCTCCCCATCCAGTGCCCTGTTTTCTCCCCTGCCCTGCCTTCAGTGCTCCTTGTTAGCCGTTTCTGACCCTAGAGTTGGTGGCAGGTTCCTGAGCAGTGGCTCCAAGCGTCTCAGATGCCGTTGTGCAGCCTGGTAAGCAGGCAGCAAATCTGTTGGGTTTTATTCCAGCTGCTCCTTTTGGAGGCTGAACCTGTAACCCTCCCAGCCAGCTTGTGGCTCTGGTGAAGCCCTGCTGCGTGGCAATATCATCCTCCTCTGAGCCAGGGGTTCCTCCGCTTTAGTTTCCTTTCATCAAAGCCATTGGGCCTCCCCCCACCACCCCAAGGGAAAACCCCACATCTTGCTGAACTGGCTTGTTTGTCTGGTCTGAATGTATGCAGCTGGGAAAGGAGACGCGGCTGCCCCCCCAGTGTCAGATCCCCTGCAACGCACTTGTCAAGCCAGAGGGGCTCCAGATTGCGGGTGGAATCATGGTGTTTACCGCGTTCATTGGCAGCACCCCAGCATTGCTGGACTTGGCTGCCAGAAGTCAACTGCCCAGGGCCTGGTTAGAGCCATCCAAAGCCATCCCAGGAGCCGATTGGCCGGGAACGGCCGCACTCACCACACTTGGGTTCATAGTAGACACCGTTGGAGTAGAAGGAGAAGGACCGCCGGGAGGCGTCGATGCTGACGGCCACGGGGCCATTCTTGTAGATGGCAGCTTTCAGGGCCGTGATGTTACCCGAGGTGACGTTGACGTAGCCTTTCATTTTGCCCACCAGCTCGGACTTGTTGTAGTGGCACAAGCCGTTCTGCAACACAGACAAAGGAGATGACAGCCACTCTCCTCCACCCCTGCATGCATGAGCCAGGCCGATGGCCCCAGGAGCAGGGCGTCTCGGCTGGTCAGGCAAACATGCGGATGCCCACTGGGCTCGAAGGAAGCCATAAGCGTCTCTGGCTGCTGGCATGTCCAGTCTATGCTTTAATGCCCCTATTTTCTTTCTATGACCCCAATCAGCTCTGTGCCCAAGTGCCTCCCCCCGACACCCCCGATAGGCAGGGGAGTCTCACCCCCGTTGCACTGTCAGGGAAACTGAGGCACGGAGTAAGGGGAAGTGATTTGCCAGGCGAGCAGTTGAGCCCAGGTCTTCCAAGTCCCAGGCTAGTGCCTTAGCAGGGCCATCCAGCTGTAACTGGGGTCAGCAAGGGCATGTTATCAGCAGTCCCAGTGGCTGCTTCCCACGTGGATGCTGCACCCTAGTCACTGACTCTAAGTGGGGTCGCTGGAGCGGCCCCATGGGATAGAGCCCCAAAGCCCCGAGAGGTCTCGGCCCTGCTGGAGGCAGAGGCTCCCCCTTCATGGCAACCTGCTTTTGACTCACAGACCTGGGACACACCAGGGAGGTTCAGCGGGATCAGAGCTCCCGTGCCAATGGAGCTGCTCCCCGGGCACCTCCGGCAGCCGAGCCGGAGGGCGCCGCGCTCACCTGGCCTTTGTACAGGCCATAGGAATCGGTGCTGGCGATGCCGCCGTGCTTCTTGATCCACTCGTACGCGCTCCACTCCTCACCGCCGTCGCAGCCGTAGTTCCCGAAGCCCCAGGAGCAGTCGATCAGGACTTGCTGGGACAGCGGGGTCACTACTCCGGTCTGGGGAGGGAGGAAACCCAGGTCCTCAGCTGCAAAGCCCCAGCCAGGCGGCTGGATCAGGAGCTATGAGCCTAGAGGGGGTGTTCCCAGCTCCGCCATCCCCACCTCCAGCCAGCCTTGAGCTACAGCTGTGCCACCTGGGGCCCACGCAGTGGGGAGTCACCCCAATATCCCTGGATCTCCCTAATTCAGCACAAAGACCATTCCCACCCCTCCAGCTGCTGGAGCGCCCCCAATCCCCTCCCCACCCTTGTTCCAGGGCTGCCCAGTGTTCTTGGGGCAGGGCTCTTGTTGCTGCAGGGTGGCTCCTGCACTCCCAAGCCAAGCCCTGGTGTGGACGCGCCATCCAGCTGGGGAGCCGGACGGGCTGCCTGTGACATGTAGGCACGCAGGTTGTGCCCTCAGCAGAGCACGCAATCTCCTCACTGGGAGGCAGGCGGGCTCTCACCTTGAGGAACAGGGCACCCTCCATTGCCCCGGTGACAGCAAAACTCCAGCAGGAGCCGCACACGGCCTGGTCCTTCACTGGGGTCACGGCGCCTGGGGAGGGAAGGAGGGAGCGAGCGAGGGGTCAGGGACTGAGACATATTGGGCAGGTGCCTCCAGGAATCTCCATCTGGGGAGCTCTAATCCACCCGGTTCCCTCTCTGCCTGACTCCCTCCCTTGCTGCCCAAGAGCTACCAACGATCCCCTGTAATGCAGGGTGTAGAGTGCTGGAGACTGGAGTTTTAGCTTCTTGGGCCTGGTGCTACCCCGGCCTGGGTGCTGGCAGAGCCCCCTCCCCCGACAGGGATCTCCACGCACTAACTAGCAGCCATGAATTAGGTCTCACATGGCCCTGTGTAGCAGGGAAGTATCACCAGCTCCATTTTACAGATGGGGAAACCGAGGCAGCGCCTCGGTGACTTGCCCACGGTCACACGGGGAGTCTGTGATAGGAGCTGAAAAATGACCCCCGGTCTGTTCAGCTAATTGGGCTGCAGCTTCTGGATGGCAGCACTACTGTAGAAAGACCAGCTTTGGTATAATTCGTTCCCCGTTAATCCCTTCCTGAGGCATTTAGTTTGGTGCCAGCCCCGGGCCAGCCTGCTTGTCTGTCCCAGGGTTTGCACAAACAGCACTGCACAGACCTCTGGGTAACAATGGGATGCCAGCAGCTCCAGCCCGTAAGGCCGAAGCCTTCAGAAGCGCCCTGGGGTTGTTTCTTTTCAGGGGCCTCTGATTTTTGGAGTCCCAACTCACAACCCATCAGGCCAGGCTTCCAGACAGAGCTGTGCGATTCCAGCTCCCATTGACTTCCACAGCAGCAGGGGGCGCTCCGCACCCTGGACATATAGACCCTCGAGGTCCTACATTGGGCACTCAAAAACGAAAGTCCCCAGCCCCTCGAGGGTTCGAGCCCTAGGAGTAGCAACGGGGTGTGGAAAGGGAGGCAGGAGGAAATGCTCCATCCGGACGGAGCTTCCTGCCCAGAAGCAGCCACATAACAACCCACTCACCGTACAGCCTCCAGTCCAGGCTCTCGGGCAGGATGAGGCCGGTGTACCCCTCGGACGGGAACGGCTGCCCGTTGTTGGGGGCCCCGCTCTTTAGCCGCCCCCGCAGCACGGCCATCTCCTCCGGGGTGCGGTCGGCCAAGTGGTTCAGAGCCAGCTTGTAGGACAGGTTGGCCCGATTCTTGGAGTGAATGAACCTGGGCAGGGATGGGTGCCGTGAATAGAGGGGGAGCCAGGCAGCGATGGCTTCTGGGCGCTGCTCTGCCCACCTGGCATAGGAAGCTCCTGCCACAGGGCAGGGTGTGTGGCACACCTCTACAGCCCTGGCGAAGGAATCCCTACCCACCAGGCACACCCACAGCGTCCTCCCCCGTGCAGCAAGCAGATTAACCCTTAGAGGGCTGGTGCAGCCTCAAATGGCAGCCAGACGGCTTTGGGGGATGCCCGGTGCCCACAGGCTGCGACCCGGGAGGGTTCTGTGTGTTGGGGACAGGGGGAACCAAGGGATGCCAGCCTGAAAGAAAGTCAACAGACCAGCTCCCGCTTGCTGCGTAGACATACCCCGAGGAGGTGAGATTGCAGCTCCTGGAGGCAGACCCAAGGGAGCGCTGATGGAGCTAGGAGATGTGCCCCCAGGCCCTGCGGGACTCCATTCTCCAGCCGCTAGCTAGAGTCCGCTGCTAGGCCAGGTGCTGCTGGCGTTGTGGACAGGCCGTTCTCCGCCACGTACAAGGCTAGCTCAGGAAGGTCCCTTCCACAAGCAGCCAAGGCCGAGCCCCCGCCCAGCTCCCTGGGGGAACCCTCCAGCCTCCCTGACCCAGCAGAGATGCCGTTTCCTTCAGCAGGCGATGCACCAGCTCCCTCCTCCTCCTCCTCCGTGACCCCAGAGCCCCCGCTGCCCCCAGGCAGCCCTGTACCGCATGTTGTGGGTGAAGGTGTGCGTCCTGTGCTCCATCTCCTGCTCGCTGCCATAGCTCTTCCCGAACGCCTTCCGGTAGTGGTGGAACACCTGGTGGGACCGGTCCTCCTGCTGCCCCACAAAGTCCTGCATGGGGTTGGCCAGGATCCAGCGCTCTGCTCCCAACCCGGGGAGCTCCCCACAGGACTTCGTTCCTAGGGCACAAGCACAGGCAGCCGTCACCCCCAGACTCCCCTCGCTCCCCCGCCCGGTTAGGGGCAACCCATACAGGGGCTTCAGTGAGTGCTCTGATGCCTGCAGGGGTGGGTGGACCAAAGCTCTCCCAGCTGCCCAACCTGCATGCAGCTTTGCCTCTCTGCAGGATGCTTTTCCCATGGACTGTTCCTCACTTCCTTCGAAAATGCAGGTCAGCAGGGCTGGGTCAGACGAGGCTGCCGGCCCCCCCCCCCCAATGCTAGTGCCACGTTCACTGCTCAGTGCCCAGGCGGAAGCGGGCAACGCCCTGCTGCCGCAGCTCTACAATGATCATTAGATCCCTTCCCCGCCTCGCCCCAAGGAGCTGGGAGATCCCCTCCTCTCTCTATCCTGACTGTGGCAGCTTCCCACTCCTCTTTCCTAGCAGGCACAGGCTGGTTTGGCCTCCCATGGGCCTGCCCGACCTCCCCTTCTCCCCTGGCTGGCCTCAGGGTTGGAGGCAAAGAGAAGACATTGGCATCGACACTTGGCACGGGATCTTGGCCCTTCCAGATGCCAAGAGCCTTGCTATGCCAGCAGGGCTTCCACAGAACTGGGCTACCTTGCAGAGAGGCCCGGATCAGCTGCGAACCTTATCCCCCGAGCTGGCTTAGCAGCTGGGTCCGGAGCCAGCCACCAGGAGAAACATCTGAGAGCAGGCGGCGGCCCCCAGCCCATTTGTCTCCAACATTTCTCCAGCCCACGGGGCTGAGCTGCCCTTGCTCAACGTCTGTTTGGAGCTGGAGATGGGTGCGGGGGCTAGTTTCCCTGCCCCGCCCCTGAGTGGCTCTGTCGAAATAGTTTCACGGCTGCTTCTGGGCACCTCCCACGGCAACAGGACGCAGGGCACCACCCACCCCTTCCTCTCTGCCCTGGGCTTCATGAGGTCAATTCCTGACTCTGCCACAGATGGCCTGGGGCGGACCACATCCTCCCGCTGTGCCTCGGTTCCTAATCCTCAGCTCGGATCCCTTCCTCCCGCCCTTTGTCTACGTCCCCGTCGGGGCCAGGCTGGTCTCTGCGTGCGTCTTGGTGCGGCCCCTAGCGTGAAGGGACCCTGCTCCCGGCTGAGTGCTTTTGGAGTACAGAGAAGAGGGCGAGGCTTGTCTCGGGCACGGATAAAGGCTGGCCCAGGGATGGAGAGGGCCCGCCAGGCCCATCTTACCGTTGGTGGGGAGGTTGAAGGCAGAGGCCGGGTAGCTGTGGGTGAAGTCGCTGTAGTCGATCTCGTACTTGTCGTAGTGGGAGCCCAGCACGCTGTTGTAACCCCGCATCTCGTAGTGGACGGGCGACCAGCCGCAGCTGGTGTTGGTCACCCACAAGGTGTAGACGTTCTTCTTCTTGCCCCAGTTGGACATGTCCTGCCACACGCTGCAGTACTGCCCTTTGAAGTACTCCTCCCGCAGGAACTGGGGCGGCAACGGAGGGTAGCCGGAGTTAGGCCCCGTGGTTCTTCCAGTGCTCTGCTGGTGAGACTGGCCCACGCTGCCCACGGCACCTCTTTCCCGCCCCGAGGCAGCTGGTGCTAATCCAGCCCCGAGCCTTGCCTTAGCAGACGCCGCCCAGCACATGGAGGTTGTGGGGCTAGGCACCAGCTGCAGACCCATCTCCTTGCCCCATCCCCAGAGAGGAAAGTTTAGTTAGGCTCTTGGGGCAGGAATTGTCTCTTGTTTGGTGTCTCTCCTGCACCTAGCGCAGTTGGGCCCTGGTCCGTGACTGGAGCTCCTAGGTCAGCTGCTACCATCCTACATAACAAATAATTTCTCTAGGCCACCCAGAGCGCTTCCTGTGCCCGCATCCTTCATTCATGGAGCTAAAAACTCCTCAGCCACCATCAGAAAAGTCCTTCTGGCTTCGAAGATCCCCAGGACGACCCCTCCCCCGTCCTCCCTTCCAACCCAGTCCTCCCTTGTCTACCTCTGGCTATGCCCTCCGCAAGCTTTGGTTCGTTCAACGCGGCTTCTGAATACATACAGTGAGCAGCTGTGTTATTTGCCCTTGTATTCCTGTAGCACCCAGTGGCTCCAGTCAAGCATCAGGGTGCCACCGTGCTAGGCATTGCATCACAAGGGAGATGGGCCTCGCTTGGAAGAACTCCCAGTCTGAGTACGAGCTTGAATCTTTCCACAGCCCCGCTCCCCAGGGAGCTGCGTTAAGCAAGTAGCAGTATATTGGTGAGTTTTCCCCATATGCCCAAGGCCTTTTAAACAGCCATTACCAAATTATCATCCGGGCGAAGCAGATTTCAGTTTTCATTCAGAGTCCAGGACACATGAAAGCAACTTTGCCCAACGCCCACAACGGGGATCTCTCGGTAGTGGGCAGCTGAGTCACCACACGGGCTCGCCCAAGCTGCCACCTCGTTGTAGTAAGGACTAGTTGCAACAAATCTCCCAGGGTTGGGAAAGGAGAAGAGATTCTCGGCCAGCACTGGTGCCTCCTTCCCAGGTTCACCTCCTTCTGCAGGGTCTGGCTGGCCAGGCAAACCCCCTGCTCTGATTGGGGCCGTCCATTTCTGACACCGCTAACAAAGCTACCCTGGACTCCTTGGCTTGCTGTTCTATTTTTGTGCTGCTTAGACACAGGGCTCCCCCAGAGGGCATTGGAATGGGTTCTCCGGGTCTTACGCTTCCTGGCTCTCAGCAGGGGATGGAGAGAAGTGTAAAACGCCACGAATCTCTACTTGGAATATCTCCAGGGATATTCAGCTAGGGCTAGAGCAGCCCCGAGGCTGCTCTAAACTGCTCCAAGTATTGGGAGAGAGAATTGGGGAGCTGTAACAGTGCACCTTCCCGGCTGCACCCCACAGCAGGGATCTGGACAGCTACACAAGGTGTATGCATGAACCTTCACCAGCCAGGAGAGGCCAGGAAGAACACTGAAAGACACAGGGACTCAAGCAAGGAGACAGAGACTTGGCATTTACCGATAAGCTATGGAACAACTGTCTGCAGCTTCCCACATACCTGTAAGGAGGAGGCCTGCAGCGCGTGTCCAGGCCAACTGTCAGGCGCTGTCTACAATGCCACACGGACTGGAGATCAGAATGGGCCTAACGGTTCTCCCAGCTACAACGAACCCAATCGCTGCTCTGTCCCAGCCAAGCTGCTGTCAGTCTGGGCGGCTGCATGACGTCAGAGTCATGCCGGCTGAGGGTCTGGCCCAGTGCCTGGGGTCCTGCGCTCCTCCCCCATCCTGCCCAGATCCCCGGTAGAAGGGGCTCACCTTGAAGCCATGTGTGTGGGGAAAGACGCTCTGCGGCTTGACAAGCTTCTCTTTCGTGCCGTTGATCTGGAAGCACTTCACGATGTTCATTTCCATCTCAGTAGTTTCCGGCGTAATCTTGTAGCTGGTACCGTACGGCTTCACCGATCCCAACTGGTAAGTTATCACCTGCCCTGCAAGGTAGGAAGAGAAAATAGAGGCAGCCAGTTTCTACGCAGGGCTGCTCTTAAGCATTCTCCACCCTCCTCCCACAGAGCACAGACTGAGGGGGTGGGCTCCTGCTTCCCCCCGCCCCAGGATAGCAGATGCCATGCTTCCCTGAGCCACAGGCATGGTCGTTGGGTCTGGGAGAGCCAGGCACGGCATGCAGGTGACAATAGGAAATGTCACATGTGGACCCTGCACTTCCACCGCAACAGGGATTTTATTATCCTTGGTGCGTGACGTCCACATTGCTCCCCACTGTAGCGAATCCAAGCAGAGGCAACCCATGCCTGACCGATAGCGGGACTGAGCTCTGCAGGGTGGCCTTCCAGAGAAGAGCCGTTCATGGCCCTGTGGCTTACACGCACTAAGTAAATCAGGGTCTGGTCGTGCAAGTGGCTGAGTGTCTCCCGGTGCTGCCGAGCTCTCGGCTCCCAGCGGAAGTCCTGGGCAGCACAGCGCTTTCTGCGCCTTTCAGAACGGGGCCCTCCGCGGATCACTTGCTGACACCAGGAACCCCGCAGAAGTTCTCAGCCTCGGCTTCTTCACCAGCGGCTGCAGCTCCTGAGCAAGCCCCTTGCAAGAGCAGGAGATGGTGTCACCCCAGACGTGGCACGTGAACCACCCAGAGGCACATCCTGCTCTACAGACCCCCAGGAGAGTCTCTCTAGTCCGCCTCCCACAAGTACCCCGGCGGCTTACCGTGGTAGTACTGGATCCGGCTCTTTCCTCCGGTCAGGTTGTACCAGGCTTCGAAGGGCTCCTCGATTTCGGCGTAAGGCAGGCTGATGACTCCTGCAGCATACGAGTGACAGGTTAGTCAGTGTCTTTTGCGTGGGACAAGGGCCCATCTGTAGTTCGCGGAGATTCCCCGGGAGAACGCAGACTTCGAACCAGCCCGTTCAGCCAACCCGGGAGACAAGGGTGAGCCTGTCGCCCTGAGGTACAGCTCGAAAGCACAGGCGTGCGCAGCTTGCTTTCGTGCTCTCTGGATTAGGTGCTTGGAGGGAGCTTCGCGTAAAGTGCTGAGTTCTGGAAGGTGCAGGAGGCCAGCGCTCTTCTCACATGTGGCTGAGGATTGCCATAAACTAGTGCAAGCCTCCGACCAGCTGTCCCCACTGCCCTAAGCCAGTGGTCCCCAAACTGTGGGGTGCACCCGCCTAGGGGTGCGCGGAGAAATGTTCAGGGCATTTGTGGCGGGGCCTGGGCCAGCACCCCTGGGGAGCAGGGAGGGAGCACCACCCTGCCCCACTCTGCCCCCAGACCAGTTCCAACCCCAGCCCAGCTCTTCCCCTCATTCCCTCTCCACCTCTAGCCCCAGCTCCCCGCCCCGCCAGCTCTGCCCCCAACTCCACCTTCAACCATGTGGCTCTGGTGAGGAAGCCTTGGCTGTGCAGTAATGGGGGTGGGGGGGCGGACAGAGTTCATTACTGGTAAGAGAGGGTGCGACAGGAAAAGTTTGGGCCCCACTGCCCTAAGCTGTGGTGGGTGGATTTGCCAGATCACCCAGAGGAAGCTCCTACGCGCCAAACCCGTTGGGTATATGGCTACGCTTTGACTGGCAGAGAAACCCTCAGGCTAGCTCTGACCTCATGCACTGAAACCAGAGCACAGCCGCAGCAGGGGCTAGCTACCCTGAGGGTGCAGCTCTGGGGAGGTGCACGCTTCCGTCGGGTTTATCTCTGTGAACATGGGAATGAGACTAGAGGGCTCTAGTCTGGGGCAGAGCATTTCCTGCCAGTGCTGGAGCCGGCTCTCACTCCCTGGGGTTCAGAGACACCCCTGGGCTAAGCTGTCGATGGCGCCGAGCTCATGGATGGTTCCTAGGGGCTCTGAAGGCCACTCAAGTTCCTCCAGGCCCAGCACAACACAGAATCCTGGGCATGGATTAAGCGAGGCCCATGCCTCGAAGACAGGCTAAGCGAACATTAGAGAGGCCCCATCCAGTGCTGCCAACTCACACCCTTGGTTTCTTGGACTTGTAATTGCTGCACGAGTTTATCCAGAGCAAGCACTCTGTGGGAGGCTCTCGCCGGGAGCGATCGGTGCGTGTGTCGAAAGGCCAGGCTCTGTCGTTGGAGGGATAATCATAGGAAGCTAGACATTAAACTGCAGCTTTGTTGTTGTTGTTGAAGAGGGTTTGTGCAGGCAACGTGCAGCCGGCTTGCCAAAAGCCACGCCACTGTTTCATCCCAGGAAAAAGCCACAGACTCACCTCAGAGGCCCAGAGTCAAGACATTCTTCTGCATTGAGTCGAGAACAATCATTATCATTCTTTTGTTTGTCAGTTGCACACCCACAGTGTACTGGGCGCTGGCCCCACACAGCCAGGAAAACACAGTCCCTGCCCCAGGAGCTTCCAGTCTGAGGAGACCAGCCAAACTGGAAGCCTGCAGGAGAGGGACGCAGGCCCAGATCCTCAGACGTACTTAGCTTCCTGCTGTCCATTGGAAGTTAGGAGCGTAAATACCTCTGAGGATGTGGCCCCTGGTGCTCCGGAGCCTGGCTGTGTGCCAAGCTCTGTTTACTAGTAGAGCTGGGAGTTGATGGAGTCACTGGGTTGAGCTCTCCTTCAGTTATTTTTTTTTCCCGGGAAGGGCAGATCAGATCCAAGGCCTCAATTAACCTCAGCAGCAATTTGCCCTACGCAGCTTTGCACGATTGCACCGGGCGAACCCGTGGCTCTGTCGGGCTGGGCAGAGGACTCCCATCATAGGGCCTATCCCCAGCTTCTGGCTCAGGGGCAGGGTATGCTTCAGTCTAGTTTGTTTTACACACACACACACACACACACACACACACACACAGCAGGGTGAGGGTTTGATTTGCTGCCCATCCGGCCCTGAGTTGTACAGAGGGAATGTTACCTTTGACATGGTAGATATCTCCAAATTCAGGGATTGTGCTTAAACGTTTGCAGCCTTTTCCTGAAAGCAAAGGAAAACAGAGGTACAGAGCTGACCCTGATCTGCCAGCACAGCCAACATGTTCCCCCTGTTGGAGGGCTCCAGTTACACCTGAGGGCCAGTTTCAGACTTAGGCCAAGTGGGTGCAATGTCATGGACTTCAGTGGATTTGCACATGTTTACAACAGTTCTTAGCTCTAGAAATGGCTATGTGGGTTTGCATGGAGCACTCACTCCAGCGCGGGGGGGTGGGGTGAGATAAATAGGGTTACCATACGTCCGTATTTTCCCGGACATGTCCGGCTTTTTGGTTCTTAAATTGCCGTCCAGGAGGCATTTTTAAATATCTAAAAACGTCCGGGATTTTGCCATTATTATTTTTCCCCAAAGAAGAGTGGATCATTCAAGAGAGAGAGTGAATGTTGATCATTCGAGAAAGAAAGTGAATGCCGATCACTCGAGAGAGTGCCCACTTTCCCCCCTAGCGCCCAGCGCTTGCGCCGCGAAACAGCTGTTTCACGCTGCTGGGAGGGAGGGGGCAGGAGGGGGAACGTGGCACGCTCAGGGGAGGAGGCAGGGCCAGGGTGGGGATTTGGGGAAGGGGTCCAGTGGGGCAGGGAGGGGGCAGAGACTTTGGGGAAGGGGTTGGAATGGGGGCGGGGAAGGAGTGGAGTTGGGGCGGGGCTGGGGGGGGCAAGAGCAAATCCCGCCCCCGTGGAGTGTTCTCTTTTTTGAATGTTGAAATATGGTAACCCTAAAGATAAAGGTGGCAAACCAACAGGCCCTGGGCCATGTCCTGTAGTGGGAGGAGCAACCTAACTCACTGCAGCCGGGAAACACTTGCATCCACCGGCGGTGTGCGGATCGCATGTCCTTGTGGGAGGCCCCATCAGTCACTCGAGGTGAGAAGGGACCGCCAGGGTCAGCTAGTCTCACCCCCCTGCCAGAGGCAGGGTTTGTGGTGTCTAAACCATCCAAGGCAGGTGGCTACCCAGCCTCCTTTGGAAAACCTCCACCGAAAGCACTTCCACAACCTCCCAGGGCGTTGGTTCCACTGTCCTTACAGGCCGGAAGTGTTTCCTGAGATTCTAATCTAAATCCGCTCTGTGATAGTTTGAACCCGTAGCCTCTTGTCCTGCCCTCTGTGGCAAGAGAGAACAACTTTCCTCCATCTCTTTTCATTGCAGCCTTTCAAATATTTGAAGACCACTCTCATGTCCCCCCTTTACTCTCCTCTTTTCCAAACTAAGCATGCCCAGTTCCTTCAGCCTTTGCTCAGCTGCCTTATTCCATCCCTTCCATCAGCTTCCTGGCCCAACTCTGGATCCTCGCCAGTTTCTCTCCATACTGCATGGCTGATAAAAGAAAGATTTGGCCAAGATTTCCACAGGGGAGTGCCTGATGCCAAGCTCCTACATGCAGTCTTAGGCACCTATGTAAATGGGCTTGGGTCTCAAAAGTGATGAGTGCCCACAGTTCCCACTGGCCACACTGGGTGGCACCAGGTTGCATTAGGGGGGGCTGGTAAGGTGTGGTCCTGTGGCCTACACCGTTGGCCTGTGGGTTGCACTGGTCAGGATTTGAGCCTCACAGTTTAAGACACATCACGTGCTTCTCCTGCTTTACCCTAGGGGATGTGGGCGTGCAGGCAGGATCTCTGCTCCCCAACAATTTGGCTGGGGCTTAGTCATCAGCCGCAGGATGAAGCTAACACACCCTGTGTTCTAAGGAGCTCGTCTTTTCCCTCATGTCAGCATCTTCCTTGGAGGAGGACAGGTCCTTAAACTGGAGGGGTAACCACAGCCTGTCTGGAAGCAACGCCACGCCATGGTGCCCACTGCTCCCTCCACCCTTTGGTCCCCCAAAGGAGGCTGGGGGGCCGAGAGGAAAGGCAGCTGGCACGTAGCCCACGGCCCTGTGCGCTTCCCTGGGTAAGAGCAGTGCCTAGGGGCTAGCACATCATGCAGGCCCCCGGCCTCTGCTAGAGGGTGCAAAGCCCGAAGAAGGAAGCTGCCTTTCCCCGGACGGCCCTCCCTGGCGGTGATGCCAAGCAGGGGGGGTAGCAGGTGGCTCTGTGCCACTTTTGCCCATTTCAGGCCAGTTCTACACAAAGGACTGGGCCGGGGTCAGGGCCACTGCACGCCCCAAGAGAGGCCCAGCTCGGACAGCGAGGGAGCGTCGTAGGAATGCCAGCACTGCCGCAGCTAATGCCAGGCTGCAGCCACAGCGTCCGGGCAAGCTGCTGCTGCACTACAGAGCACGTGCCTCCCGGAAAAGGGGGGCCAGCTCCCACCCAGAGGGCGCCCGGCCACACCGGTTTGCTTTTAGGTTAATCTCGGATTCCCCCTGGAACGCCAGCGACGTTTCACGGCGGTCCCTGCTCCCATGCCTAACTCAGCCCCCTCTGCCCCTACACGGCTGCCCCCCGCCTGCTGTGTTCCCCCTACTCCAGCACTGCTGCACAGGGCATAAGGCTGAGGACCATCCAGTCTGTGGCTTGCAGGAGCCAGTGGTCCCAGTTGAGAACTAACCATCCAGTCCAGCTTGTCCGGCCGCATTTCACTGGGCAGAGCCAAGCGTCCCAGCTACGCTGCCCCATCCAGCGGAGGCTCTCCAAGCGCTTCACTGACACTTGTGAGCATAGCCTCACACCCCCTTTCCCTGGCGTGGATGGTCAGTATGGTTCTCTCCTGGGGAAACTGAGGTCCAGCAAGGGGAAGTGACTTGCCCAAAGGTCACGGAGGAAGCCTCAGTCTCAGTCCTCCCTTCCTCCCAAGCAGGCGGAGGAGAGGCCCTCAGGTCGCCCTACCGGTTCCCCTGCTCCCAGGCTCTCACTTGGCCGGGAGCAAACGTTCTCTCTGTAACAGCATCCCTTGGAGATGCGGGAGCTCTACTCTCCCAGGCTCAGTGGGCTGGAGAGACAGACTCACCTGCGACCGAGCTCCACAGTGCGAAGAGCAGAACCCACTGGAGCGCCCCCATCCTCGCAGCTCCCTGCTCGACCTGTCCTGGGCTGCAGCCGTCTGAGCAGCAGCTCCGAGCACCACCTTTAAACAGTGCCGGCAAGACCAGGAACTCGGGGATCCAATGCCACAGCCAGACCCTGCCCAGAGGAGGGGAAGGAGCCTGAGCATGTCTTTGCAGACAGCTCACTTGCTGGTGCCTCCAGTGCTGGGAAGGGTGGATCTGGCAAAAGAGGGAGGAGCGGGGAGGTGAAATGAAAGGGCGAGAACAGATCCTACTCAGGCAGGGCAAAGAGTGGAGTGCAGCCCCGTGGAGCCTTTCCTGCTTCTGAGCTGAGCCAGGCGTCTCTTACAGCGGGCTCATTTCGGCACGTGGGCCGATCAGCTCCAGGGCCAGCCAGCCCGGCCCCTAGAGCCTTGGTCAGACCAACTGGGTGCTTCAAGCTGCTTTTTCAGCCAGCCAAGACCTGTCCCTAAGGTCTTCTCCCCCTACCCCCCTGATCAGAATTTCACCTGCCACGTCAGGTGTTCAAACCCCTCTGTGGGGTCTGGGTGAAGGTGACGCGACTCAAGCTGGAGGGTGACTTTAATGCAAACTAAAACTAGTTGAGACCCTAGATGATTAATATGGCCACTAAAGGCAATGGGACTGGCCTAGAACTAGGACCCCCGCAGCTGCTGTGCCAAGGCAAGACCAGGTAGGCTGGGGAAGGGTCCCAGGGGGCTGCATCGCGTGCCAAGGAAGACAGGGAGAGAGCAGAGTGCACAGCAGAAACAGCAACTCCCCCTTAGGAGCCTGCAACAAAGCACTTGTCCTCCCCCCCATGTGCATGGCCTAGGCTGCCTGCTATGGGAACACAGACCCCGGAAGACCAGCCGGTGGGAATCTTAGGTGCCAGGGAGAACCCGCGACTGAGGAATCAGGCAGGACTATCAAGTCTGGCTCTGTGCAGGAGAGACCAGGGATGGACGCTCCAGAGACTGGCAGAGGGGAAAGAGCGTGGAGCCTGTTTGCCTGTGCAGAGCTGGGCAGGACCCAGACCAGCAGGGGACTGGGGTGGGGAGAGGCATCACAGCCCCAAGATCAGGGTGATGCGTGTGTCCCGCGAAAGGGCCAGAAAGGACACGGCGAGCAGGGACGAAAAAGACTTAACGCTCCTTTGTGTTAATAAACCAAGAGGGCGCCTGGCATTGGAATGGCAGCCGTGTGGGGGTCTGCATGACGGTCATCAACTGGGCAAGTGCTCCTGGCTTCACAAATGAGCTTCTCCCTCCCCAACGCTGGGGGCCAGGACTGAAGTCATTGCAGCTGGAGTAAAGAGCTCACTTTCTTGCGGCCAGCCAGAGGGAAACTGAGGCACAGTAGCACATCCAGACCCAAAGGGGACAACGATGGCCAGTTGCTCTCTTCTGATTGGGTGGACATGGCAATTCCTCCAGTGATGTCAGAATGTCAGCCAATCACTGCTCTCTCTGGGCGTGGGAGTGAAGGCTGTCCTCCCTTGGCCACGTCCCCCCTTGGCAGTGCCGAGTGGGTACCATCTGCCCAGTAGCTCGTGGCCTCTGAATGTAGCCATGCCCCTTGGTGAATGTGCCAGCCTTCTGTCTGGGTCTGAGTCGGGACCCCTGCAACACCCGCATCCCCAGCTCCACCTGGGAGCAGCCATATCCCTCTTTGCCCTATGAAAAGGCCGAGTGAGCCCTCGCTGGGCGTGCCAGGCCAGCTGGGAGTGACCCCGCGAAGCTGAAAGCTGCTGGCCACCACATGTCACGCCCAACGGGTCCCATAGCTCCCTGCTGAACTCCCAAAGACCTTTCAGTCCCTTAAGCCCAGCTGCCGCCCACCACAGATCACACGGCCCTGGTGCAAGAACTCTGCTGGGAGGCGGTTAGTGCAACTGGGCTCTTGCCTTTTGCCTCCTCCCTGACACGCTCCCCCTGAGCCAGGCTGCAGCCCCTCAGCACTCTGGTGTTGTCACCAGAGCCGAGGCTGAATGAGGAAGCTGGGCCAGCCTCGGCCCTGGGTCTCATGCAAGTGTCTGAGGTGGAAATGCACCCTCCTCTCCTCAATCTTGTGCAGACACTGATAAGAAGCAGCAAGTGGTTAGCTGGGTTCCTGCTCTACGCACACTTCCCCATCCCCCAGCTAGGCAGTCCTCCAGGCAGTCCTCTGTGGCTCACTGACCAGTGCTGTCCCCAGTCACAGACGGGCAGCCAGGCAGGGTTTGTTCCCGGTGCCGAAGAGCCAGAATCCCCCCAGAGCTCAGCAGGAGCCTGGAGAGGCCGGCGCGAAGGGATCTGCTGGCTACAATAGCACCTCTTCATCTCAGACGCTTCCCACGCCCTTCACAAACCGGCTCCGGGCCTGCTGGGGGCGCCGGCCAGTGCTGACGGGGACAGGAGACTAGCACCTGCTCAGTCGCAAACACCGGGTGGGTCGTCCTTGGGGTGCTGCCTCGCGGCAGCTGCAGGTGCTGTACTGGAATGAAGGCACATGGCTCTTCTTAGGACATGCTGCAGCCACAAAGCCTCGTCCCCTGGCTTGGGTTAAAGCTAATCCTGGCCTGGGCTGATCGAAAACACAGGGCCTCAGAGCTGCTCTGGGGAGAGGGTGATGCCACTGAGCACTAAATTAGCGTAGGGACTCGTCTCGGACAAAGGGCTGGGATCAGCTGGGCCCTCTGATCCCACCGCCCCCACCAGCACGGGACCCCTTCCTGCAGCCAGCATTGCTCCATGCCACCCACAAGTGTGGGGCCTGATTCGCCACTGTGGAGCCTCCGGTGCCCGTGTATAGGGGGAGTAAAGCACCACCCTGGGGGAGAGCGTGTGGTGAGCTCTGCCTATGGCACTTACAGTGGAAATGCCGGCACACAGGGCAGGGCAGTGAAGACTCAGGGCCCCGGGCATTCCAGCACCAGCTGGCGTGCACCCAAATGCTTTCCATGGGGCATCCCAGCCCGGCGGGATCTCCCAGCTCCTGCAGGAGAGCTGCTCCCACAGTGCCCTGCGCTGTCGCCGGGAGGTTTGGGAGGCAGCTGTGGAGTGTGCGATGGAGTTAGGAGAACTGGCTGACCCAGTGCACCTGCAAGGCCGGTGGCGTCTCATCCACACTGGGTATGGTGTAACCCAGAGCCGAGCAAAACCCTGGCTCCCTGCTATGGCAACCTACTTGTATGAGTCCTGGAGCAGCGGTGTGAGGTGCCAAGCCATTGCACAGCTGCAAGCTCAAGGCCTAACCTTCTGCAAGACTTGTTCACCTAGCATGGCCAGCACCTGAGTGTGTAGACAACCATGCCCTTGTGGGGGGGAGGGGGTGAATGAACCCCACCTTCCCCCGCTTCCCCATGGCTTCCCTGCCACAGCAGATCGCAGGCTTCCTGCAAGTGGATGTTGCAATGCACCCCAGCTGTTAACTCGGTTGCAACACAAACTCCTTCCTGTGTGAATGAAGGTCCAGCCCCTTCCTATTGTGTGGCATGAAGTAGAAGGGATCTCTCCTATGACCTGCTGCCGAGCTCCAGGCCTGCTAAAACGACACCAGCCGCTGAATATGGGGGCTACATTGACGCTGGTCCTGCTTTGCTATCCATTCCACCGAGGCTCACGGGTCTGCTGCTGAGCAAAGAGATGCAGTGCGCTGCCGGGCATCGGTGGCACCTTGGTCTCTCCCAATAGAGGTATGTGGGTGGAATGAACTGGCCCGTGCTGCTATCCGAAAGGTCGTACCAGATGATCTCATGGTCTCTTCTAGCCACTCTAGTGTCTATCTTAGGTTTATTATCAGGCCTTCCAATCCCAACGCGCTTTCTAAACCTGGGCCAAGGTTTTCAACCCCAGAGGCCTAGTTGCAGACTCCTTGGTCCCTGTTGAGGCCCCTTGATAAGTGGTCTGATTTGCAAAGGTGCTGAGCACCTTGCAGTCCACTGGAGCTTCAGGGCATGCAGCACTTTGCTAAAGTGCCTAGGGGAATCAGGCAGCTCCAAGATTTTCAACCTTGACTAACCTCGGGGGCCTCAGCTTCTGGGCTCCCAGCTGGAGACCCTTTCGAGGGGGCTGATTTTTCAGAGGGCTCTTTCTGGAAATCCAGGTCCCTTTACAGTGACTCAGGTTGGGACCCAAAAATTCAGGCACCTCCCAGATCACTAGTCACGTCTGAAATTCTTGGCCTCAGGGTCCTTTGCAAATCCCAGCACCTTGGTATATACACAGCCGCAGCACCGCTGCAATGGAGAGTGGCAGCCATCCGCAACAAGGGACAGGACACAGAGGTAATGGGGTAACAGGAAGTAGAACAGGGAGGCGAATGCAGAAGCTGATGCTCCAGAAATGCTGTCTGAGGCGGGAGGGGGGGGGACTCATCCGGAACCTTTAGCTGCCTTAGAGGTTTTTAAGGTCCAGCTTGACAAAGCCCTGGCTGGGATGATTTAGTTGGTGTTGGTCCTGCTTTGAGCAGGGGGTTGGACTAGATACCTCCTGAGATCTCTTCCAACCCTGATCTTCTATGATTCTACCCCTGTAGGCAGGAGGGCTATGGGACAGGCTCAGAGTCCCTCTCTGTGAGCTCATGAGGTAGCAGCAGTCCTGGGGCTCTTTGCACCGGCTTCACATTTGCCATACAGGTCTTTAAACCGCACCCCTAAAAATAACCACCAGGCGTGCAAAAAATAGCACCTGATTAGTGCCGAAAATACCCCGGCGCCTCGTGTTCTAGTCCCAGAGGCTGGATCGTCTCGGCAGACAGGGAGACAGCAGCCAGAATTGGGCTGGGGGAGGGGATGTATACAGCGCTGGTCACTGGGGTTATTTTGAAGCTGGAAATGTGGTAAGTGCACGCATCTTCAGGCTGATCAGCAGCAGGTTCCTCTCCCCAGCTCGCCCAAAAACAGAATCAGGGACTTGGTTTGTTCACACTGCAGCCGACTTCTGTTTTGCAATGCTTCCCCTCCCCGCACTCCCATTCCCTCCCAGCGGCCTCGGGGTGCTGGAAGGGGAGAACTGGGGTGAGCAGCCCCTGCTTGTGATCCCCTTCAAGTCACAAGGCCTAAGCCTTCTCCTGCACGGCTAAAGGCTCACAGCCTGGCCCAGCTGCCAATCGTCCTGGGTTTCCATGCCGACTCCATGGTTCCCAGGGCCCCCGGGTGTTTTTACAGGGAGTTTAGCACATCTGGAAGGGACTGGAGCTGG